TCTAAAAACAACAAAAACCAAAAAGCAACCTGAATTGCTCAGATAAAAAAAAAAATCATGACAATAAATTAAGGATTGAACTGGGAAATACCTATGAAGCTGTTAAGTTTCTGCAGCTACTAATTGGGTATGTGGCCATATCTTCTAAATATCAGTGTCATTTTCAGATTTGATGAAGCAAAAGGATTTTGGTGCCAGCTGTTAGATGGAGGAAAGACAAAATGCCTGGGAAAGAGTAAAGGAAGAAAATACCCTGACATGGATTCCTCGGTGAGTAACTTTCTCAAATTAGTTAGCAGCAGCAGATGAGCTGTATACACATGGAATGCAATGAGCATACCCACCTGGATTTTTCTACTGCCAGTGACAGGAAATGACCTGAAGACCCCTGCCAGAAACACGGTAAGGGTGACATTTTCTTTCACGCTAATGTAGTCTGTCTTTTCCATGCAGTCACGGCTGTTCCTAAGAGACTTCTACCGGGAGCACAACATTGAATTATCCAAGCTGATGAACAGACTTGGACAGCCCCTTCCAACCTGGCTCCGAGAGGAACTGCAGAACTCCAGCTGGAGTTGAGAGGGACTTCCCTGTTCCCAGTGCCACTGGGATGTGTGGTGCTCCAACATGTGCTATGATGCCATCTCTCGTCAAGCCAAAACAAATGGACAAAGGAGCAGTAGCAGAGAATGTGCATGTGGAGCCTTTCCCCACCACTGGGAAGGGCTGCTGCTTCTGTCACTGTCCTAGGGCATGGAGTGCAAATCTCATTCTGGAGTATTAATGGTGTGTCACACTTTGACTCTTACTTGCAGGAAGGATTTGTAATGCCTGTCCTACTTTGAGCAGGAGCAAGAGCACGGTTAACACTTTATGTTTAAATTACTCTTCTCAGTATATGAAACAGGCACTAGTTGGAGGGTTAATGTCTTTCACCTCTGAGTCCAGAGAAAAAGATGTGAGAGGCAAGATACAGAGCCCGCTGATCAGAAAAGGGGAATCTGCTCCAGTGAACCTCAGCTTTGATCCAGTAATCTATTATTTGGCAACAGCAAGGTACAAGAACACCTCCTTCCTCCCCCTGTAGAGTACAGTGGCCATGACCATTACTTACAGTGCCACGGTGTGTGTGCTGGGGACTGCACCATCTTGGAGACACAGGCCATCTTATGCCTGTTAACATGTCCTTATCTGCAGCCTTGCTGGTGCAATACGGTGTCCAACAGCTCTGGTCCATGGGCAGTGGGAGATAAGGCAAAGCTGCAGATACTGACACCAAATTAATTTCCTGTCTTAGGGAAAAGGTTGCCATACATGACAGCATGGCAAGTATTTCTTTGAATGTCTTCAGCCATTTCAGAAGATACCCAAGGAATGATAAGTCAGTCCCCTTGAGCACTTTGGAGGCCTGTGTTAGCAGAGCACAGTAGCTGGGGGAGGCAAAGCTCAGGTAGTGTTGAATAAGGCTGAAAGTAGACAGTTCAGTTTCCCCTGTCTGATTAACTTAAAAATGTTGCTTTTTTTTCAGTCTATCCAGCAGCTGCAGGGCCTCTACCATGTATGCTAATACTTGTTTAATCCCCCTGCAGTCCAGCATCCTCCTGCAAGGAGAAATAAAAAACCCAACCCACAGTAAGTACCACTAAGATATACAGGGAGGGCTTAGCATTTTTAAGCAAGAATGTGGTTTCCTGTATCCAAAAGGGGCTGTTTGTTTAGATTACTGTTTCTGCACACAGTCAATACTTTAAGTACACTACGGTGCTGTGCCTCCTCTTACAGTTGCTGGATAATTTTTCTCAGAGGAAATCCTCCATCATGGTTGTACATTTTCTGTTGCTGAGCCATGGGCTTCTGAAGTTGTGTGGGCTGTTGTCCCTCCCTCCTGGGCACAGATGGACCTGTCTTGCTGCAGTTCCAGAGAGGGATAGGATCCATGTGAACACAGGTTATGGAAATCTCTACAACTGTCACAAGCTCCTTTTCACCTACCAGAGGAGAAAAGTTGCTTCAACCAAGCTTTTCCATTGAGCCTTAGGTATTGTGTATTTCCAATTGAATGGTGCATTTACCGTTGTATGTAAATGTATATAGTATGCAATATAGTATTTTATTTCATGTGCCCTTGGAAAGGGTTATTTTGTGCAGCCAAAAAAAAAAGGACAAAGACTACAAACCCCCTCTCTCAGTCCTGTTAGAGAGAAGAGCCCAACTTCCTGCACTGGATCATGTATAGCATCATTCACATTGAATGATAATGAAGAAATTCCTGGCTCTCAAAACTGAGCACAAGTGTCTGAATAAAGGCTAGAAGTAGTAGTAAGTGGATTCAATAAATGTACTACTTATTTTTCTTCCTTGTGATGATTTGGAGTGATGATGATTTGGAGTGATGTCGTGGATCGTAAGCTGGTAGAAAGATAAAGAAAAACCCTGGAAAACAAATTCCGGTTCTTACAGCTGATATTTGAGAGGGCAGCAAAAGTGTTTGCTTTCCATTATAATGGAAATGTCCTTTTGCAGCTGTAACAGTGTAGTAAAAATGTCTTTCTTGGTATGTGCAACTGGAGGCTCACAGGAGCCAGTACAGCACAGAGAACCTGTGGTCGGATACTCACCCTTATTGGGTTGCACTAGTGATGAATTTTGAGCTATTTCCAGCTACTGCAGTAACTCCCAGCTGCTGTGCTGCAGCAGTAGAGCTTTGCTCTGTCCTTGCTGTCCAGATGTGCAGCCATTGCATGGCCTTGGCCAGCAGCCCAGGAGTAATCTGTGATAACACAGAACCTTACATTCAAGACAGAGCAAAACATTATTTAAATAGTCACAGTTGTGGCAGAATTATAAAATAGCCTTTCACCTCTCACTTTACCAAGCACTTCAGAAACAAACATAGCATCAGCAAAACAGGTATTTTTTACATACTGCCATGCTGGGAAGAGCCCAGGACCAATGGTACTGCTGCCCCATTACACACAGAGCTTCCTTCCTTCTCGTAATTCATTACAGGTTCTCTCTTACACATTTACCTCAGAGCTGTGATAAATATTCAAGTAGATGGATTCAAACACTGGAAAAAAAAAAAAGATACTAGGAACAAAGTTGGAAGGGACTTACTAAATGTCAGGGCTGTTAACTGACAATAGTCCTTCAATCAAGGCAGCAAAGAGCAGCTCCGTGTTCTCATTATTTGTCCTTCCATCTCCACTGCTTTCTTTGTTGCTGTGCTGGCTTTTTACTGCTTACAGCAATGGAGAAACAAATCACCTGCTATGTCTAGACCATGTCAAATGTATGATGTCCTTACCTGATGTAGCCAGATACACTGATTACTTGGTCCTGACACAGTCACTTACTTGCTACTGACCCTTACAGCTCATTTTGACAGTGGAACTGAGTTGCAAATAAACTCCTTCTTCTTGCCTCACTATTTAGTAAGGAAGAACTTGACAGCAAGTAGTTAGTTTTCAAGACAGGGAAAATGTTAAGCATAAGACATTACCTGAAAATTATTTTGTAATGTATTAACGTTTTCTTTTTTTGGCATAGGAAACTGAGTCATCAGAAAGGTATCAGAAGGGCCCATGACTTTAATAGAAGCCAGATCAGGTCACTTCAGAAATGGAAGTGTGTATAGCAGGTGAGAACTGCGAAAACAAATGTTAAGAAACAAATAAAAAAATAAATATAAGTAAAAAGCAAGCCAGCAGAGTATACATGCCAACCTAAACAAAGAAAGGTCAGCAACATGAAGCCAAAACTTCTACTCACTCACAACCTCAGAAATTCAAGCAATTAGAAAGATGCTTACTACTTGGCTTTCTAATTTGTACAGGGAGTACAGGGAACTGGTAAGAACATGTGCAGAAGGATAGAAGAGGTTTAAAGGCTCTGGGAGAATTTCTCTGTAAGTAGCATCATAGCTCAAGTCTACATAAAATCTGATCCCTCTGATGACAGCACTGCAAAAGCATGGTCTTGGCAGAGGTGTACAGATAGTGGAAGTCAGAAAGAAACACAAGAGTGTGTTAAGAGTGTATTAATGTAATGAGCGCCTTGATCAAATATACCACTACTACTGTTTTTCAGCAGTTTTACATATACAGTTGAGAAGAGACTCCTTTCATTCCTTGCTGATAATTTTGCTGTAGCAATAATAATATGGCAAGAAAAGTAATGACAAACCAACCTGAACAGGACTGTGGTCGCTCATCCCTTTGCTGACTCCTGCCTTCCACTGCCCATCAGGGAGTAAGCCACCGTGTGAGCGCGATCTAACAAGCACAAGCTAAGAAGAAAAGCTCCATTCACTGAGTAGGATATGGAGTTGTCACTGTACCCCCCTCCAGTTATTAGGACTTCAGCTATTGTTTATTTCCGTCCCCTTCTTTCTTACTGCCTTCTGGAATTTAAAAAAAAAAAAAGAAGAAGAAAAAGAAAAGAAAAAACCCTCCACCCATAAACATTAAGAATTGTTAATTTTACTCTCATCTTTGAAAAACATCTTACAATTTTGTGGCAAAACCAACAATGTATCCCTGACACTTTAATCTCCAGTGCTCTAGTGGAATATGTAGAAATAATTTATTGATCTATTCAATCTGTTTTTAGCTTTAAAGAGCATTTTCCTTCCAAGATTCAAATCCTCCTCATTGTCGTCCGTATCACTTTATTGACATCTCTAGTCTCTCCAAAATGCTTGCAAACCATATGTCTGTAATTCTGACACTGCATTAGCAGGCTGAAATCCAGCTCAAGTTTACTTTGCAGTAACAACAAAGGATCATAAATCAGACTGTTCTCAGAACCCTGCCAAGCCAAGTATTGGAAAAGGTGCACATCAGGATTTATAGCAATGTGTTGACAGTAAGGTTTGCACAACTGCTGCCCATACAGCCCCAGCATTCCTAACAATTATGTACTCCCAGTTGACTTAAACAAGACAAACTGAAGTATGAAATAAGAGAAAGTTATGGAAGACCAATCCAACTCTGTGCAAATTACTATATATAATAGATTTTAATGCATTGCTAGCATTTCTCCCCCCAATTCCTTAATAGTTCATCATGTCCTTAGTGGCAACAGAGTAATTGTGCAGTGCAGACTGTACAGCATTAAGTAGTTACTCTATAACTGCAAACAGGCAACATCAACAAGAAAACAATTGCTTACAAGCACAGACACTGTTGTTATACCAACAATTAACAATATACAGCAGTGGAGTTACCTTGTGACAGCTCACAAAGCTTGTATTTGGCAGTTAGCCCTGAGAAAAAGCTTTAACTCATGGTAGGCTCAAACTGAAACCCTAGCACAGAATATCCCCAGACTGCACTCGCAGTTCTCACAGAGTAATGATGCTCTTTGACAGGAGCTATTGACCACCCTGCCCCCAAGCAAAATGTGAGCAGGAAGTAGAATGAAGATCAAAATCCACTTTTAAATTGTGCTGAGGAGTGAGAGGAGAGGTAGTAAACAAAAATGGTAATATTAAGAAAGACTCCCTGTTGTTATTTTACCATAATCACATCATATGAAGCTCTAATTAGGGCACAGAGAAAAACCAAAAAATTCTAAATAAACTGTTAATTGAGAGCAGTTCATTCTATCACTAAGGATGGATTAAAAGCAAAGTCATACAGCAGTTGTAGTCATAAAAAATATGTATATATTTTAATAGTTAAGTTCTGCTACCCTAACTTGCCTTTTTAATTTTTCAGTTCAGATTTAAAAAAAAAAAAGTCATCAATACTGTTGTAGTCATCAACACCTTTATGCTTTTGTGATACATCTCCCAAGTGCACCCTGGAAACATCATTTTAACACTGTGCCATTTTTTGGATTCCTGGACAAGTAAAACAAAACCAAGAAACAACCAAAGTCTTACAGAAAACTACTTCTCTTCTACTTAGAAAAACACTTATGTCACATTTCAGCTAACTTATTTATACGAGGATGTATTAAATTTCACAGACACAGACCTTGCTTACTCCATTTCTGCTCACGCTGCTCTTGCAAAACTCTTCAATGCCCTCTAGCACTATGTAGCAGTGGCCAAGCCAGTTCTAAATGTGCTAAGCTTGATTAAAAACCAAACTCCCACCACCAAAAAAATGCAAACACTTTAGGTTCAGTGTGCCCCTACAAGGGTGTTTCTCTCAGAGTTTCCTCAGAGAAGGAAAATACATATCCCAAATAAATACTAATGAGGGTAAACAAACATTAGAAAGAAACACACTTTTCAGCTAACTCTAGCCCTAGCTGTTAGGCTCGTTATTCATCAGATGACAATTCTCATGGTTCACTGGCTGGAAAGATGCTGAAGTCCAAAGGCAGATAATGTCCTTCTGTCTCATAGTCCTGGAAAGGACTTCCAAAAGGAAAACCTTCACAGGCAAGAAAGATGGTTGTAGGTGAATATGTCCTACATATTTCCCTATGGAGGGGAGAAGCAAAGCAGGCCCTCACAGAGGCTGATGTGCCTGATTTTTACAGAAAAAGGCTGCATCTGTATCAAGAGATGTGTTCCAAGCAATGACTAAAGCTTTTATTTTATCCACTGCATAAGAGCTAAATCAAACCATTCCTCCTGATGACCCAAATAGCCAAGAATCCAGATGTTATTTTGGCACATTTATCAACTTCACTAAATATATGACCACCTCTACAGACTGAGAAACTATGCAGGAATCAAAAGATTAAGTTTAAATACACTGCTGTCCTAGAAACAGCTTTATTTATAAGACCACATATATACAAGTGGAAAAGATACTAAATGGCCATTAACTTCTTCAGGGAAGAAACATATTTCCTGTGGTCACATGAGGAAATAAATGTAGCAAGTCAGAGAAAATCACTGTGAATACAGAACACATGAAGAAGTACAATCTATAGATCTGAGTACTTTCCCCATGTCTGGAACAGTGACAAAACTGAGACAGCTGCACAGGATTTTAATTTTTCTAACTTACAGTAAACTCATGCTTCTTTGATCACCATCATCTCTTATAAAAGAAAGATTACCTCAAGCACCTTCCAGGCATGTAGCAGGAAAAAACATACCCTTTCTCACTCTTCCTGTCCTTGTTCAGATATATTTCCATGGCTCAGGAACAACAAGAGATTAATGGATCCAGAGATCCCAGATATAGAAACGTTGTGATCTGTCTGAATAAACTATAAGGCAGCCCCTCCACACAGCTCCCTGAGTGCTCTAGTTTTCAGAGGTAAGACTGGAAACTTGCAAAACTACTGACCTGTGCCTCAGACCACTGAGCTGCTTGTTCAGTTGACATCAGTCTGAGGTGAGATTCCTTGGTTCTTCCTCTGATTGGGCCCCACAGCTGCTAAAGACAACTCATACAGGGTCTGTTCTGATACTGAAAACATTCAGCTTTCTTGCCCATTTCCCTCTGCTTCTTTCCTTCTAGAAGACGCTCTCTCCTCTACCCTTAATTGTTCTCCATAAACAACGGAAAAGATTAAACTTCATTAGAAAACACTCATTTTTTCCTACAAACACCTTTCCCAGCCCTGAACATATGAGCACTAAAGGGCACAAAGTGCTCTAGGAAGGCCAGAGGTGAGGCCTGGACTTCTCAATAACAGGCAGCTCACAACCAATCCAGAGTTAACTTAAAAACCACATAACTTCACACATTCTTACGCACACTGGCATTTATAATTAGCACGTAACCAGAGAGCAGAACACATGGTGGAGGTATACAAAGGGCTGCAAGGAGAACTTTAAATAGTTCCTGTTGCACAGTCAGAACTAAGAGAAACTTAGCGATGCTCCTTGGCCTGTGCAGCACACAGAAGTCAGACCGAAGGAGTATGCTCATGTACTTTGTCCTATGCTTTTGAGTTAATTTATTTCTTATGAACGTCATTGAAAATATTAAACAAACATACACTTTTAGCTTGCAAAAACTGAAACCTCCCTATTGTCATTGGCTAAACCCAAGTAAGTAACAAAATATATTACTATTGAGACATTAAGATTCTTAACATACATCAAACCTCTAATTATGGCATTAAAAAAAAAAAGAAAAAAATTTTGTGCTTGTATGCTTCCAAATGGCATTAGCCTTTTAAATTTCCTTGGTATAAAAATAAAAGCTTCCTAGAATTAATTTTCTGCAACATAAAAATTGGGTAGTCCAAACAGCTCTCACAACTCACAGGACCAGACTGCACATCCTTTAGCAATTACATCAATTGTGAGCAACTCTGGTTTTGCACAAAGCTCTGGAAATCCAGAGAAATACATTATCACATGGTATCCCTTGTGCTTTCCAAAGCACAAGAGGAACCCGGTGGCCAGCATAAGCGTAGAAACTGCACTGGGATGCCCCAGGCTTTCCACCAGCTCTGCTCACACCCATCAGCCATCCAGTCAGTGCAGTCCTCAGCCCCTGTAGAGGTATGACATCCACAGAGCACAACCAGACAAGAAACTTCTGGATCACTGCTTGTACAAAAGCTCTGGCCACCTACCTCGTGCTAGCTGCTATTTCCCAGTGAGCCTTAGACTATCTACAGCACTCACAGGAGCTCCCACTGACACACGGCTGGCCAGTTCCATCAGAATGTCAACATCATAGCAGAGAGAAGAGAGAGTCAGTCTAAGAAAACGAGTGTTTAATCAGGAAACGAGAAGAGACAAGGGATAAGAAACTGATTACAGGAGAGTAATACCCCAGCCAAAAGAAACATGATTGTACAACTCCAAACGACCAGGATCAAAACGTCCTAAGAGCCAGCAGTGTCCAGCGAGGGACACTTGAGAAAGAGCCCAAGCACTTCTGGCAGTCACCAGGCAGCTCCAGGCAGTCTTGGACCTTGCCCAAGCTCCAGCCTCTGCCCTCAGCAGCTGCTGCAGAAAGCTGCAGAGGTGGCCCTGGCCCTGCTACTCCAGTCTCAACTTCTCTCAGCAGGAAGATGCTGAAAGGAATGAAGGGAGCACTGACTGTGCACAGCAGTCCCAGCTTCTCCCGACAGGAGATGGTATGTGGAGTAAGAGAAGCCCATACATTAAAAAAAAGTTTACATATTTATAAATGCCAAAATAAATATTTAAGACAGACTCCCCCACCCCTCAAACACATGCGCAATCACCCTGCAACTGCTCGCAGGACAGTCTCCAGGGGCTCAGGGAAAAAAGCAGTGACTACACCACAGGGCAGCCAGCTCGACTTCCTTCTCATTTCCTGATGCTTCTGAAGCCCGCAGCTCACTGGGAAGGTGGAGGAAGAGCGAGCGAAGCAGGGCACCAACACGCAACAGTGCTGGAGAGGAATGTCATGGTATAAATACATCAGATCAGTGGTTTCCAGCAAGTTAAAACTAAAATTAAAAAAAGACACCAGAAGGAAGGATGGTGTAAATGGAACTACAACTACGCAGAGCAAAGGGTTGTGTGGAGCTCCACCTGCTGTCACGGTGAGAAGGTGGTCATTTCCAGAGAGACCCTTTGCCACAGATCCTTTGTCTGCTTGCCGCGCTTCAGGTTCTGGAGAATATCATTAAACTGCATCATGCCCACGGGAGTCAGGCAGAAGGCGCTTCTGGCGCTGCGGATGGCATTCACAAAATCATCGTAGTCAGCTGGAGCGAGGTGGATCAGCCGGTAATGGATGTACTGGATGGAAACAGGAAAAAAGCCTTCAGGTATTTTGCTCACCATCTTCATGCTGGTGAGAAACCCTTCTGGCAGGACTCGAGCTTCAGTAGTGATACATCACATGATTCTGCTGCCCCAGGAGAGGTCCCAGGATTCAGAGGCACGGACAGAGGACAGCTCAAAAAGCAGGCCCGGGCAACTGCCAGTATCTGCAGGTGTTCTCTCCATTGCGAACACCAGACAGCAGCATAGCACAGAGCAAAAGGGTCACCAGAGCCCTTCTCTATCAAGCACTAGCATCAAACCCTCGCACTGTTAATTCTGCAGGTTGTACACAGGGACCCAGCATGTTCATGGACATAATCTTCACTAAGGGGTATGGTGGGAGTAAGACCTGCACTGAGTTGCTACAACATATCTCTAGGGCTGGCACACTTCTCTTCCCATCAGTACTTCCCTCAACTAAGGCCCCAAACCTAAAAGTCCAGACTTCAAGAAATCTGTTTCTCTCGTGGAGCTCAAAAAAACAGCTCAAATAAAGAAGCTGTCATTTCCCAGAATCATACAAGTGATGGGACAGTTAACCCAACCTGGACAGTATGTTTACAGAATCACCCTTTTGGTCACTTATTCAAGAACAGCACTCAAGGGGTATCCTGCTTATACTGTTCTAAGAAACAGGCAGTTGGCTCACAGAAACACACCTGTCCTGTTTTCAATAAATCCTGAGACATCTCATCTGTATTGGGTGACCATGCCACTCCCACTATAAATGCCAGCACTGACACATTAACCAGTCGTGCAAAGACTTTGTTACAAGGCAGAGAGGGACTACAAATAAGAAGAAAATAAAAAGGCCAGAAAGACAGGTGGACAAATGGCTTGAAAACATAGCAAAGAAACAGTACAGAAGTTAAAAGCATGGGTTAACATTTAGAGTGAGAAAGAAAGAGGATAGGGACCACAAAACATTTTCATCCTGTATAGTGAGCACCAGAGGCAAGAGGTCTTAGAAGAATGAGCACAATGCAGTCTTTTGTATGCAGCCTTCACGCAGGCAGGCAATGCCTATCCCATATCCCTTGTGCATCAGGCAATGGACCAGTTCAGTTTGTGATATTAAAGGCTCTTCCCCTCTCTACACATGCACACACAGGCAATGGCAATACAGGGCAGGCAATGGCAGGCAGGAAGACACACCACGTGTTACCTGCAAGTAGACCTGCTGGCACCTCTGCACCAGCTGGTGGAAGGCTGGGGTGCGCAGATGGTTGTGCACATGTGCAGGGTTGAGCCTCTGTAGAGCTTCCATGATGATATCCTGAAGCACAAAAGGGTTCAGCACTCCCTTGGCTGCACCGACACAAAACTGATGCACGTAGTTTACACCTGCACAGGAGGAAGTCAGAACAACAGCGTTAAGGTGAAAGACATTCAAGAAATTAGGTGTCTTCCAGGAAGAACCTGGACTTACAGCATCTTTCTCTCAGTGTTACATATCCTCCAGCTTCGGGAAGAGTCCAGCAAACTTACAAGGACAAGCAGTTATTCTGACAAATTCATCAAGTCTGAGGAGACACTAGGTACTACCTCAGTCAGTGATATTTCCTGTTCACCTGTCTTTAAAAGGGATATGAAAGAAAACTGATGGGACAGGGAAACTATAGAGACGAGAATACACCACACCTCCTCCCACTGCTTCCTGCCTGCTCATCTAGGAAGCAGCTGCAGCCCCAGCACCCATGTCTTCTGGATACTGGAAGGAAATTAAGGCTTCCCCGCCATGGTGGAGCTCTGCTAGCAGTAGCAGAAGTCATGCCACCAGGTAGGCTGTTTGCAGAGTTGTTTTTAAGCTCTTGCTACTGGTGAAAGAACTAAAAAATGAGATGACAAAAAAGACTCAAGATCAAAGTGTAACTAAAAGAAAACAACAAAAACACCCAAACACTTGGTGGTCTGAGCACCTATTCCTATAAAAGGTCTTTGTAGAAAGAATAAACACACACAAAGAAGAAAGAAATATTTACAAACTAGTGGAAAGGAAAAAAGTTACTATTACAGAATGGAAGGTCTGAGCTCTGTCCAATCCCATGCACTTTAAGTGCCTTAAAATTCAACAGCTTAGAGAGCCCAGAAATGGAACAATTGCCTGGATGAAAGAGCAGCAGGGATCTTTCGAAAAACTCTCAGAAATGAGATCAGGAACCAGACCCACCCAGGCTTTGAAGTTTCACTCTTAGAAGAGCTTTCCCCCCACCCTCCATATTCCAAATCCCAGAAAGTGGATTTCTGCTGAAGCACTGCTCTGAGCCTTACCTAGCTTTGCAGCCAATCCAAGGAGCCATTTTACATCCTCTGTATAGGGTGGACTGCGGGAGAAGTTGTTGGGATGATCGCTCTGAGTTCTTCGGCCAAGCATCTCCAGAGCCAGCATCCCTGTAAGAGAGGGGCAGCCAGAGTCAAGCAGCACTTCTGCCCTGTAGTACTTCATTCACCTCAACACTACCTCATTGGCCCACCTTTCAACAGCAGAAAATTGCCTAACTGCAAACTCCACAGAGAAACAAAAGGCCCATGTCGGAGGCTGTCACCAAAGGAAGCAGCTGGATCTGCTCCAGACTGGGAAATCTGTACAGCCATCACATGCCACTAGAGCTGCATAGAGACACTGCTAGATCTACAGCAGGATCAAGTCCCAAAGACCGATAAAAGATGTCCTGAAAAAAAAAACAGCTTCACATTTTGCAAGCAAGGCTACCTAAATCAAACTACTTAGCTGCAAAGACAACAGGCCAACAGCAAGCAGCAGTACCATCAATTTGCAGACTTTTCCCTAATTCCACTAGCAGCTCTTCAAACAAATTCTCCAATTTAAACAGTTTTAAAATACTAACGGGAGCTATGTAATGCAAAAAGTCTCTTTTGATCTTCCAGACCCTCTTCCTTCATCTTCCTGTCTGTTTTTCAAGCTATCAAAATGCCTTCCATGGCTTACTACTTACCCCTGTGATGCTTCCTATGAACATCCGCACCCCTTCCTGACTGGACAAGTTACTTTCTTCTCTAGCTTTAACAAAAAAAACTCAGGCAATCTCCATACAGTCTTCAGTTTCTTGCTGTTTCTCTTCCTTTGCTGCCCTGCAATGGCTCCTCTGATCTTAGCAGGGCCCCTCCTCCCTCTCCAAGTACCTGCTTTGTTGGGCTCTCACTTTCACTATATACAAATAGCTTACTGCAGCCTGTGCTCAAGCACAGACACCAGGACTGACATTCTTGCACAATGGTAATTTCAGGCACAGACTCTCCTCTTAACTAGCATAACTGAAAAAGGAATACTAATTACACACACTCACTTCTTGTCAGTCTTCAACAGCCTGGTGGAAGAGGCACAGGGAACATGCCTCTGTGCATGTGAAGACTTAACTGGTATTGTTAAAAGGTGTGCCTGCACCACCCACGAGCAGCAGGAACTAAACTTCTTTTCACAGACACCTCCACAGAGCTCTATCCAGACTCCTCCAAAAAACACTAATCGAAGGGCAAGCCTCTTTCCAATATTAATCCACTTAACTTTACCTTTTACTCCCATAGCTCTCAACATTTCAACCTCTATTTAAGACCATGAATTGGCTTTCCCCATGTAGCTAGGATATCATCCTCCTCAACAAGTGCAGCAGCAAGTTGCCAAACAGTAAAAACCTGTAGCCCTGCCCTGAATCCTTCTCCAGGGGGCCACAGAAACCCACTTGGCCATCCTTACCAACTTGGTATGCGGAGTGGAGGTAGTGCAAACCCTGGGGGCTCACAGGCTGACTGTGCTGCTCATCCTCGGCGGGAAACCCCCCTGTAACAAGGGAGTTGGGCTGTGAGGACAGAGATGTCAAGGAAGCCCCTTGAATCGCTGGGAACGTTGATCCTGCATGGACACTTCCTACTGAAAAGAAAGCGAAACAGCAGCATTAGGACTCACCAACCAAAGCCTAAGAGAAGTTTTCTTTGGGCTCACGTATTGGTCTCTTACCCTAAGTAAAACAATACAAAAACCGAAAAACACAGACTTGCAAGTAAAATACAATGAGCTAAAAATGTCTCTATTTTGTTTGCAAGCAGGACCTAAGCAAGTTGATCAGATGCTTGCCCATCTCTTCTGCTGTATACCATGGATATGCACATGACATGTGTTTCACATGTTAAATACATGTATTGACTCAGAAGTCTTTGCAGTTACTAAATGATGTCTGGTTCTGATTTCTTATTCATGTATGTGAATGTGCCCATCAACATCTGGTGAGAAACTGCTGAGAAAACAAATCACCCAACAGGAACAATATTTTCTCACAGGAAGTCCAACGTTGCAAGGTTCCTCCAGCTCTAAGTTACGACACCATCAAGATACTATGTGGGAAGAGAGTTACTAGAGGCTAGCTGCCAGTTGACCCTCATGAAGAACTTCTCCTGTACACCTTGGCAGCAGGTATCTACAGTAAAAACTGCAAGGAAACTTCAGAAGATTCTCTCCCCTTCAGACACTGAACAATACAGACAAATTTAAGGAAAATTACAGAAAAATCCATTACATTATGTCACGTAAGCTTGTAAATTTTGACAGCAGTTAAAATTAAGTCACTAAGCTGTATTCTGACAAGGGACTCAAGTTAATCTTTGCTTCTCAAGAAATGCATGGAGAGGATTTTTTTTTTATTTTATTTTTCAATGTTTCCTAGTGAATAGTTGTATATCTGAGAACAATACGCCTCCCAGGACAGGTCTGTCTAACCTCCTCAGCCAAAGAGACACAAAGTGCCAAACAACCCACAAAGTGGGGAAAATCCATGCTACATTTGACATTTGGCCAAGGAGAACAACCCACAAGAATTAACTGAATTGTTGCCAAAGTTCAGTTGTCACCATGTGGCTATGTTCTTCAGGAACAGCAAGACACTATTTTAAGAACTGAAAGTAGAAGTTTCTGAAAGCCTTAAACAATGGCAACTGGAAAGGGTGGGGTTGTTTTTTCCTTTTGTTATTTTAAATGCTCCAGCATGAATTAACAGTTCAGTTAAGAACTCAGTCAGCATCAGCAATTCCAATGCTGCATGCTGCTTGAAGGGTCTTCACCACTGTTCTAGCCCCAGCACATGTAAGCACTCATTCAGACCACTATTGATGTGATTCTGCCACAGCATCCGCCCTCCCTACAGAAGTTCTACATTTCAGGTACTGGATGCCTCCAACTTCTTAGGGTGGGAAAAATATCCATCAGTGCTACTGTCTTCTCCTTGCATGCTCTCCCAAAAGAATCACAAGTCTGCTCAAGATCGTTTGTGCTCATCTTGTCCTAAGGAATGGACACTGAGAGCTAAAACTTCAAGTAAGTTAGAGGTCAGAAGACCAGGAGGTCCATGGAATTGAAGTCTCAGAGTTGAAAATAATGCTGTACATTTATCCAGACATCAGTTAAAGCTCCACTAGGTAAATAAGGCCTCATTACAAATCTCAGTACGACTGAGCAGGCGCATCTTTAGGCAGTGGTGGATTTGGTCAGAGTTCAGGGCAAGAACCCTTGTCCCAAGTGATGTAGGTAAGGAGCAGGGCTTGGGGGAGTACAGCTAGGAGACACAGTAGCAAACGTACGCTACGCACAATGCAGGGCTGTAACACTTACTCGCTACATTGGAAGACAGTGACAGTCCAGTTTCACTGTGGTAGGGATGCACTGCTATCTGTGTCATGGATGGGACTGGCACACCAGGGAACGACACTGCAGTAGCTGCCAATGATGGTGTTGTTACCGAATAGGGGTACTGCGCTCCTATGAATGCTGGATGGACACTCTAAAATAGACAACAAATAACGGTCATGCCTACTGTATCTCACCATTTCCAAGTCCGAAATACGATGCCCCCACACTAGCCTCAAAAGCAGCGGAAGTCCAACTACAAAGAGGAAGCATAGCAAGAAGCAGCCCAGTAACTATTATGCACCACATGACTACTACAACTGCTTGTTCCTCCTCCATTTAAATCTGATTACTTTGCACAAAAACATTCCAAGAACTTTCACAGAGGCTAAAATAACCTTTAATTTTCCCTTTGTACTTTCTATTTAGTTTCAAGATAACAAGGCTTCTGTCATAGCGTGTGTTCTGAAAAACTACTGTGTAATAAAAATTAAAACCTACTAATATCTTGCATATTCTTTCAAGACTTTACATGCACCTACAGAAGGCTCTTTATCAGATGAGAAGCTGAGCTGGAGAGCCAAAGCAGGCATCGCAAACCAGTAAAAGAATACATACGCCAACCTCAAAACACAGCCAAACAGCTAGGGAGAGCCCCACGCTCCCCCCAGCTAGACATACTCCCTCTGGAAGCAGTTACACAAAATTTCTGTAAATGAGTGAGCTGCAGGCAAGACTCACCTGTGGGTACGCTGAGCCAGGCACTGGGAAGACAGCTGGACGTGGCATGTGCTGGATAGTGTGTCCAATATACTGGGGATTACAGGGAATGTGAGTCTGAAGGGTGGTGTAAGGGTGGAGGCCCTGCGTGTGTGTATGCGCCATTGCCGGTCCTGCCATCGTATGCTGCTGGTACATGGTTGACCCCATAGAGATTACTGGCACGACCGTTGCTGCTGCGGTTACTGCAGCTGCCACTGTTACGGTGGTTGGCTCAGTGGTCACCCGGTTGTCTGTCAACCCACGTGCTGCTTCTGACGCAGCCCGTGCACCACCGGCACTGCAGCCAGTGGCACCTTCTCTCTGGGCTGGAGTCCCACCAACAATCTGTTCATAAAGCCAGTACCACTGGTGAGCTACTTCAAAGAGAACTTCTGGGTAAACGCCACCTCCCTTGGCTGCCTCTTCTACTGCCATACAGGCCTTTTCCAGCATCAGATTGTCCTGAAGGCAGAGGAGAAAAAAACAAACAAACAAGTGACTAATGAAGAAACAGGAACACAAGAACACAAATTACAACAGGAGAAAAGTTATAAGGCACTCTAAAATGAACGAAGCTATTTGGGAGCAGCTAGACCACAACTGCGCAGCAGAATAGCCAGAGCTATTCACAAAAGAAAAACCTACAGAACTGAGACTAAGGGCTGTTCTGTAGCAGACAGGTGCCAATCCCATAAGTAACAGTACGTCCCTGATGCTGGAAACCAGCCTGTTAGCCCCCATTCAACACTCACCTGTTCCTTGCACTGCACCAGAGCCCTCTGGATCTCATTTGGATTCAGGGCATGGGCATGGGGCAGGCAGCTGAGTGCCAGTTCAGCAGCTGCCCTCACCATGTTGGAGTCTCTGGCCCGCGAGGCTCTGTCTGCCAATGATGCCACCTCTGGGGGGGTCAGATGTCCATCCCAACACTCCACTAAGATGTTCAGGGCTGCACTACCAATCTCCATGGCCTGCCCTAAGAGTAAAAGAGAAGACTCTCACACTACTGACCATGCCCACAGAAGTTCCTGCCAGCTTTCCCTCAACAGGGGGTGCACTCATCACTTTCTTCAGTTATGCAACAGAGTACTGTTGCTCACCTTAGGCTGCAAATCAAATAAAATGTTCTTCTTCCCAAAACACAGAACAGGGAAGAGCCCTTGATAAGGAAGCAGTGAGTGAAGGTATCATTATTAAAATGAAGCTAAAGATGTATGCGAGGCAGTGAGATGAACTTGAAAGAGTCTAAGGCTCTTCAGAACTGAAACAAAACTGCACAAGTCACTAGTGCTTAGCCTGTGCTGCTGCCATCTGTGCTTTACATGGCTGCCACAGCATCATCAGCTTTGGGAATTAGCTCACCCCCTGCCCTTTCCTGCCCCAAAGCCAGCCTCCCAATTACGTTCTGCTGTAACCTGTGATCCAGGAGACATGGGAGGAGTAAGTTCGAGAGAGCCAGTTGGGAGACACAAAGTTGTGCAGCCCTAGTGCATACAGCCCAATCTCAAAGGCGCAGAGGTGAAGGTTGCGGTGTGGTCCCTGGTGTCCACCACTGGAGGAAGGGTGCGTGAAGATGGAGGTACTGCTGTTTCCACCTGCTTTGATAAGGACTGTCTTGGCCAATTCAAAGTAGAAGTGGGCAGCTGCCTCTGAAGGCTGGTTTGGGACATGAGGAGCATGGCTTTCCAGCCGCCTCCCTTTATACCTAAAGAAAACAAGAGAAAATTTTCAGAGAGCAATGGTACTCCAAGTTCTCTAACTCAGGTGCAAAGTTCTTATCTTTAGGGTCCACAGAAAACAAAGAAACTCTCCCAGGAGAGTATTTCCTAATGCACACATGCTAGTTTTCCGTCATCAGGGAAGGCTGCCTGTCTGCATCATGTACTATTCATTACCTGCCAACTTCCACAGTTTTTGCACGGGCTCCCCCACTGGCTCTCCTACTGCCACTGGAAGAAGAAGATCCCAGTGAATCACTTGAAGAACTACTGATGCTGTCGCTGTCTTGTCCTCGGCCCCAAGATGTTGCTGCCCATCCCCCACGTAGGGGACGCCGACTGAGTGTTGGAGAACTGTCAGAGGTAGTTTCAGGAGCACTGCTGTCAATACTAGCCATGCCTACAACACCAGAGCACATACAGTAATGTCAACAGGTGCACCTCATGCATCACCAACAGTCATGTCAGTGAGAGTTTAACACTGCAAATTGGATGAGAAGAAATCAGTTTGGCCACAGATATCACTTTGAAGTTCTTGGATTAAAAAGCAGAAAAGTCTGAGAAGAGTGTTACTTCATTTTCCCCTTAACACCGTATCTCTCAGCCACTCTCTCCATCTGCTAAGCTTTACGGCAGAATATAACAACAAGATGCAAATATACAAACAAACTTAAGATCTATAGATGCCCTCCTGGTGCAGGCTGCACAGTTTATACAAAGCTTTTCCATAACCTGAAGAGAAGTGCGTCAGGCAGCAGCTCCCCTAAATTTGTTTCTAGACCCAGGAGCACAGTGCTCTGCTCCCTGAAAACAACAAATATTCTATTCCAGATATCTAGTCCATTACCCAGAACATAGCTGCTGTGAGAAATGCATGCACATGGTAAACTGCAATTCATTAGAGGCTGGGGAGGAAATCTGTGGATCAAAACCTTTTTTTCCATGCCAAACAACTCAAAGATAATCAACTGCTCCTGTAGTATAGGAAAGGCTGACAAGCAGAATGAAAGAGCAAGGGAACAATTGAAATCTCAGCACGGTACCCAGCACAGCACTAGGTGTTAGTTACTACCTGTGTGTTTCTTCTTCTGCCTCACAGGTGAACCCCAACATCTTCCGTTGTATCCACCTCGGTTTCCAAGGGCCAGACGACTGGGGACCTTTCCTTCCTGTTTCAAGACAGTGGATTCCCCAGCTGGCTCACAGGGGGACCTCTGAGAGCTCTCTGCATAAACAGGACAGTGACAAGCTAATTATTACAATTTCTTTCTGCATCTTTAAAATTATTAAAAGATGCAAGATTTTTAGAAATTTGGGTGTATTTATGAGCAGGATTATCTCAATTTTTTCTGCATTAAGCATTTCATCAGATAGTAGGCTAAAAACACTGAAACTTAACACAAAATTTGTAAAATTTGCTGCAACCATGCAAATTTACAGTAAAAATGCTCCAGCAACCCTAACTTTATTGTATTTATCCTCAGCTACAACTCATCTCTATGGGAAGGATTAAGTGAGCATCCACTCTCCTGCACGTAATGCTTGTAACCGAAGTGCAAGCACAGTGTATGGGAACTGCTGAGTCACGGCCTGAACCTCTGATTGATCACCTGAGGTGAGCCATGAGTCAGCCAGAGGAGCACAGGTGAAGGCAATTCACCTGTGCTGCTGGAAGGGGTGGAGCCTGGACCTATTTAAGAGCTGGCTACCAGTGGGGAAGGATCTCGTCTGGAGATCTGCTCTGCTGGAGTTTTCTAAGTGAGCCCAGGATATGGGTAAGCTTTCTATCTATTCTCTTTGTTATCATAATCTGCTTTGCCAAACTCTCTTGTTTATTTCATAATTATAACATCTTAATATTCATTGATTATACACACAGCTAGAAGAAAATCATACTGTTCATCTCTAATGATCTTCAGCAATTTTATTTATCTTGCATGAATGCATCTGACTCAGTTTGTAACTTTCTGAACACTGCACCTCTGATATAAGCCTAAAAGATGGAATCATAGTGGTTTTACAGTAACTGGCTAACACGGCTGGCTCAAGACAGGAAAGCCTGAAAATTAGCTTGAATTTCTAAGCAAAAACAACGTGTACAGAAATGGATTCAAGCAAACAACAGAGGAAATAATATTCCAGTAACCACCAAGAAACCAGGTGGTGATATAAATCATTCTGACTACTATTCAACACAGATGTGAATTTATGGTTTAGGTTTTACGTGGATGACCAAAGGGTTTCAAGCATAACCTTTATAAATCATCTCTTACCTTGTGAACTCTTCTCCACAAAAGTCTCAGGACTGCTCTGAACTGCTGGGCTTACACCAGCTTGCTGAGCAACTGAAGTCCCTGGAAGCTGCTGGATGGCTGCAGTGGACTGGGCAGCATGTTTGGAAGGAGACTTTTGGTTTGCTACTGTAGGCTTGCTGGAAGAGTAGAAGGAACTCAGAGTCTGTGGCTTATGAGTTTGACTCTCTCTGTCCAGAAGTTTGTCTAAAATCTTTAACAGAAAGAAAAAAAATTATATAAAAAAGCTTTTCAGATGGGTAAGAGAACAGGCATTATACTAATAAATAGTGGGAAAGTACCACATCATTTCTTGGAAGACTATAAACTCCACTCAACTGGAGAAAAAAAGAGAATGCTTTTCCAGTAAAAGGAGCAGCACTTCCTCACACAGAAGATCAGCTAGGCACAGTTGAGAGCCATATGGCCTGCACTGCAACAGTTCATTTGTACTCAGTAATATCCCCATTTTCACTTCAAAAAAGCCACTGCCTGCACTTGAAAAACACCTAAACTGACATTACAGAAGCAGTTCTGCCACATCAAGGACAGAACAGAGGATTCTACATTTAGTGTCTGTCATTATATGTTCTTAAATTCAAGTCATTAAATTTCCATGCTCAACATCCAAAACTCCTGTCACACAATTACTAAGAAACTGGCAAAGCCACTTCAAACTTTCAGACACTAGAGAAATTGCCTCCCACCAATGCACAATAACAACACCTTCTTCACTTTATTTATTACAGAACTGGGGAACAAAGCTTGACCACATTATTTTTTGTGTTTGTCCAATTCTACTCTTTGTTCTATACATGGAATGAACATCACATGTCTGACAGAGCACTTATTTTTAGATGACCGATATCATAACCTCCCTGTTCACCCTCATTGCTGAGAAAAGTATAACAGAAAAGCTTCAGCTTTAGGTGAGAGAAATACATTAACAGTATTCTTACTGGGAGAAGTGCTTCTGAATAAGAACGATAAATAAAAACTTTCTTGAAGCTTCAACAATTTTTTATAAGTTTTTTCGTCTAAGTCATGAAGGGGGAGCAGAGTTGTACCCTCTTTTGCATGAGCCATTAAGGCACAGTGGATTGAACTTGCATATAGAATGAGAGATTAAAAAGAAAACAAAATGCTGCAGCAAAACAGAACTAATCCCCATATAACAGATACAGAGCATACTGGAAACCCCTGGGACAGAAACCTTGTTTTAGCAGCCAAGTAAAAGTATAAGCTACAGTCAGAAAGCATCTCTCAACTAGAGCTTAAGAAACCTTTGGTAGGAGCGCCTCTTCCAGGACAATGCATACTGTGCAGTCAGATTTTGCCTCAGTAAGAGAATATAAAAACTAACCATGTGCTTGCAAATCATCAGTGCACAACACAGTGACTCATGCTCACTGGGAAAACTCTGCAATCCATCAAAACACAGTCACGGTTTACTCTGCATCTCTATGTCTCCTTTTAAAGGGAGGCTCACCTTCTTCAGCTTCGATTGATCATCCTTGTAGGTAATCATCAGAGCTAGTGCCAGATCTCCTTTCTCCCTTCGAGTGCCTTCACACAACAGAGGATGTTCTGCTTCGCTGACAGTTGTCTTCATGCCTACAGGCCAGAAAAGAGAGGGATGAAAAGGCAAGTGAGCCCATGGGACTACACTGCATCCTTAGCAACATATATACATATGAAGAAGAACTTTTCCCATTTTTCTGTTAACTTCAGAAATAGGTCATGAATAAACAGGAGTGATCGTATGCCCCCAGAATACCAAGCACGGTACAACTGTCAGAGCAATATGATCAGAACATGCCATAGAGAAGAGGCCAGACACATCCACAACTTCATCTTGAAATACATTTTTCCAGTTTCTGCAGATGCTACAAAGCCAGCATTTCTGCTCCATACAGAACTCATCTTTGTCCTTTCAGAGATAAGGCAACAGAGGACCAGTCTTGTTTAACCCATCCTATTCCTAATTTTGCATGCAGCTTTATAACAGGCATACATTACTACCAACAGAATAAGCGTAACTACTGCTTTGTCACTGAAGCTGTTATAAATGAGAGGTAGGAATCCAATATTCTAAGATCTTGAATTACATGATACTGCTTAATAATTCTGCTAGTCTTTCACCATCATTGTCTAATCTCTTCTGAATGATTGCCTCTTTTTTTTCCTCTGAAACTGCTCATCTTCATTAAAGCAATACATCTTCCATCACAAGAGATCAAAAAGAAAACTAAGATACCATTACTACTTTAATGGTACATCCAGTTCCTGCCCCATATTACCCTTCCTTTTTTTTTTTTTTTTTTTTTTGAGGCACCTCAACCTGGCATGCAGAATCTTTCTGCATCTAGTTCTGACAAACCATGCAAACACTTTCGTTTTTGTACCAAATTGGAACGAGCTATTTTTTACCTTTTACCACCCAAAATAAGGGAGAAGATGCAGAACACAGATAAGAAAAGCTTTTACTTGTTAAAAAAAAAAAAAATTCTTACCAAGAGCAGCAACAGCTGCTTCAAAACCAAGCTCTTCATCTCCAGGCATTTCATTATTCCAATTGCGACTTGGAGGTCTACAGCCTGTAGGAGAAACCACTGAAAGAAGACAAGAGAATTAGTGCTCAGCTTTCAGAACTAGGATCTCAGGGTAGCAGCTGTTTCTGAGAGCTTTCTAAATTTGCAGAGCTTCCCATGCTCCTATTCCTAATCTTTGTATCAGTTTCAAGACAATACCTTGTTTTTCTTCCCTTTTTCTCCCTCTAAACTCAGAAGGCTCCTAACCAGGCAGGAACATCACCAAGTCATCTAATCTCAGAATGTTGGTTTCTTTTTTTAAATCCTGCACTTATATTATCTTCCACTGAATATAACCATCATAATAGCAGAAAAGTCAATCATTTTAACCATTTTAAAAAAGCAGACAAGTGCTGCTGGAATATGGTAAGTTTTCAGTTGCTTCTGAATGTAAAAAGAAAAAGAGAGAATTTATATCTCTGGAGCAACATGGAAGCAAGAGCAAGAAACAGTGTGGGAAGAATCAAGATTAAGTTATTATATATCCAGTAGACATTTTCTGTTTGAAAACCCCTCAAGACCTGGAATCTCAAAAGATTCCCTTTGCACATTCAAGCCAATGTAGACAGTACCTGGAGTGCACAGGACATCAAATATAAAGCTAGCCAACATGAGAGGCAGGACAGGACGATAATCACACAGTGTTCCTTCTCGCAGTTCTTCAGCTCTTCCTCGAATAGTATTCATCTCATTAGTGACCAAGGGAATCTTCTTCAAGAGGGCTGCAATCTCAGACTCCTGATATGCCAGCTTCACCTGGCAGTAACCACAAGGGAACAGAAGAAGCTGTCATCAGCACCATTTTTCCCTATACATACGTTGAAAGTATGGCAATAGTTTTTATTGGTCCATCACATTACAGCAGTTTTTAGCACCCAATTCTTTCCACAGTGAACACACATCACAGAATCATCATAGAATGGCTTAGGTTGTACGGAACCTTAAATCTTCAAACCTAGTTCCAGCCCCTCCACCCTGGGGAGGCTTGCCAACCACCAGATCAGATTTTCAAGTTTAATATACATCTTGACCCACATTTATACACAGCCTCCTTTTTCACTCAAATTATCACTCTTGAGCTATCAAAGGAACAGCAGGAGAAGCGTTTGACTAGATAAGGCACTATAGAAGTGATGACACGTACAAAAAAAGGATGCTAAGCTAAGAAGTACACTCATTAGATACAAGAGAGATTGACTAGAGAATAACAGCACAGGGTGGCAGCAAGTACAACATACCAGGGTGAAGACCTAAATTTTAATACTCTGCAATTTCTGCATTCGTTCTATTTTGAAAATTTGAAAGTGATTGTTTTCTCTTAAACAGCATAGGTAGCTTGTGACTGCCAATCTCACACTTAATCTTGTAATCAGACTGTAAGAAGTACAGATAATTAGTGTAACAAGTGTACTTGGTGAATTACTAGCAATAATACACATCTCCAGGGAATGCTCAACACTGCATTCAAAGCAATGCGGCTGTAAATCAAATAGACAAGGTCTTAACTGAGTACTTCTCTTTTCTAAACAGGAAGCCTAGTACTAATTAGGCAGTGTCCAAAACTATATATCTGCAGTGTGCACATGAGCATATGCCAACAAATGCAATGTCACAAAGAGCAACAATTTTCAAACATGAAAGAATTGTAGCAGTACACCCTAAGAAATATATTTCAAACTATTTCATCAATACAAGTATAGACAATTCAGTTTACAAATGGTTGTTTTTTTCCTCCTAAATTGTCCAAGCAAACTGGAAACATACTTAAGATAACAAGTAAACTGCTGCATTTAAAATAAAATACTCATAAAATATGCCATTCTCATTTAAACACTTTCAAGACTCTACCTTCACGCAAAATCATAGGCCTTTTGGCAAGGATGTCTGGTCATCATTTCAGTGAAGGACAACCCCAAATGAAATGGTATTTCTAATCAAATTTCTGGTAAATCAACACATGCTTGGGATTTGTGGACAGCCCATTTTGTCTCAGTATAAACAATTTTTAGAGAACATATTAAAAAATGACCTAGCTTCAAGAACTTAAATGGGAACCATAAGCATCACAACTTCCTGAAAGGAGGTTGTGATGAGGAGGGGTTTGGCCTTTCTCCCAGGCAACCAACAAGATTAGACATAAGGAAAAACTTTTTCTCTCAGAGTGGTCAGGCACTGGCCACAGGCACTGGAATGCCCTGCCCAGGGAGTCACCATCCTTGGCAGTGTTCAAGAGGCATCTGGATGAGGAGCTACAAGATATGGTTTAGTAGCTTGAGGTAGCAATGGTAATGAGAGGACAGTTAGACTAGGTGATCTTGTAGGTCCTTTCCAACCTTATAATTCTATGATAAGCATTCAAGTAGCACAATGTTTATCATGGATACTGCCTTTAAAATGTTCTTTACCTCTAGTGCTTTTGTAGAGGCAGGCGGTCTCTGCAGCTCCAGAGCAAACATTCCTATTCGGAAGGCCAGGTTGTGGTACTCCAGCCGCTCACTCAGTACAGTCAGCAGGAAAGCAGCTTTGGACAAGGTGTTGGTTGCCATCCATGTTTGCTTGCTGGTTGATACCTTGTTCTTTTTGCCCTGTTTGACAAAGAGTTTGTAACAGGATGCTTTCTTAAACATCCTAAATGATGCTATGCTCGCCCTCCTATTCTTTGCAATAACCAAGAGACAGAAGAAAAAAACACATTTAGAATTTATTTCCTTTGCTGAAGAATAACAAATCCCAGTGGTTATTAACCACCATCACTCCTCCCCCTATCTCATCTCAGCACAACATGATAAAGAGTTGGCCTTTGATGACATGCATGTCCGGTATTGGACCGATGCTGTGCAGGCAGATGCTGCATGCCTGGTTTGTTCCAGGGGAGCTTTTCTTTAAACTGCTTAGTGCCACTACAACTAATTTTCCATAACGTTATGCTTTTTTCTTTCCTATCCAATCTTGCATTCTAAAACAGCAAAGCTCCTAACATTTCCAGTGCACATTATGAAATAGCACAGTAAGAAAAAGACTAAGAAAGAAACATATGAAACAGGAAGGTCACCTGCACAAATCCACACAAAAATCAAGACTTTATTGCTGTATAATCTCATAGCACATAGTAGCAGGTATCTCTTAAACAAAACATTCTTTGATGTTAAACAGGATGCTTTATCCTGTTTAACAGATGCTCAACCAGATTCAAAACAGGTTCCTAAAAAAACTGCAGCTCTTAACAAACCAGGTTGAGGAACTTGTAACAAAACCAGAGTTTCTTAAAAATTCAAACTCAAGCTGAATGGCCTCTTACATTTTTTTCTCCTTTATATTCCTTCACAAGTGCACAGTGATCAGGTATGTCAACGACACATCAACACATCAGGTATGTTAATGACAACATCAATGAAGGGACCTGAATCACAGTACACAAGAAACGCCTAGGAATGCTGATGTACCCATCCCACATCTTTATTCTGTTTTACCCTCCATCCCCAAAACTAGGTAAGTATTCTCTACCTTAGTTGGTGGCTGCTCTACTTTGAGATCTGGAGGGTTGGCTAATAGGTCCCTGGCAAGTTCTACAGTTAAGCGACATGCTTCATTGCTGTATCCATGTGCATACAGGGCTTCTGCACAGGCAAACAGGATCTGTAAGAAAGAACAGGTAATCATATTCAAATCACACACCTTCAGGCTAGAGATAGCCTGCTCAAACCAATCCTCTCAAAGTCTCGGTAGAACACAACTCGCAATTAATCTCAGCAGCAGGCACGCTCAGTGAACTCCTTGCCTCAGCCTTCACCACCATTCCTTTAAGCACATCCCTAAAATGCTTATCGTGTACAAATAGTTTCTCCCTTCAAGTGCTATAAGAGATCAGAGAATAACTCAAAGGAAACTGACTGACTATAACTGTTTCCATGTACCTCCTTTTTCACTGCTTGTCTATTTAGGTGTAAGCCCTGAATGTACATTGAAGTAATTACAGAAATGTGACAGTGTCTATTTAGATTGTCTCTGGTCTTCCAAAGAACTTCTGCTTATGCAGTTTGATAGATTTTTCCTCCTGGTGGGCACTCCTTGACCTTACTTATTTTGAATTTCAGCTCACTTTTTACAGAATCACATAATGATTGTAAAGGACCACTGTAGGTCATCTGGTCCAAGAGCTCTGCTCAAGCAGAGACGTCCAGAGCAGGCTATTCAAGTCCACATCTGGACAATTTTTGATGAGACTCCACACCCGCTCTGGGCAGCCTCTGTTAGTGCACTGGACACCAAAGAAGTGCTTCTTAGTGTTCACGTGGAACCTCTTGTGTGCCCATTGCTTTTATCCTGGCACTGGTACCACTGAAAAGAGCCTGGCTCTGTCTTCTTCACACCCTCCCTTCAGGTGTATCAGGACACTGATAACATCCCAAGCCTCCTCTACTCCAGGCTGAACAGTCCCCTCTCTCTCAGCCTCTTATCACAGGAATGATGATGCTGTCCCTTAATCATTTTGGTGGCCATCCACTGAACTCTGTCCAGCACGTCCAGGTCTCTCTTGTATGGGGGGATCCAGCAGAGGGGAAGGATTACCTCTCTTAACCTGCTGACAATACTTTACATAATGAAATCAAGAATACTTTTGGTTTTCTTAGCAACAAGGGCACACTGCTGACATATGTTCAACTTGATATCCACTAGGACACTTAAATCATTTTCTGCAAAGCTGCTTTCTAGCTAGGTAGCACTCCCAATACATACTGGTGGCCTGGAGTTATTCCTTTCCAGGTGCAGGACTTTGCACTTCTTATGCAAAGAGGTTCTTGTCAGCCCACATCTCCAGTCTGACAAAGTCTCTCTGGATGGAAGCACAACACTCTTGTGTATCCATCACTCCCCCCACTTCTGTGTTATCTATGAATTTGCACTCTATCACATCATCTAGAACATTAAGATGTTAAACAGGACAGGACCTGGTACTGACCCTCTGCAGTACTCTGCTCATTATTTTGCCTTGTCTGAACAGCTAGAGAAAAGAAAACAGTTTTGCACACATTTGCAATATAGGACCAGCTAAAATTAGGACACAATTGCACAGTAGAAGGGAATTAAGCTTGTAGGAAAGCAAGTGTGGTACTTCCACATTAAGACTGTAGATATCTCATGATATAATGGATTATGATATAATTAAGCCATATAATGATGGCTTAATAATCACCTTATAGGTTAACTGCGATACCTGGAAGAGTGGAGAGAACATGAGGTTTGTAATACATGAAGAAAACTGAAAAACAATGTTGTGAACTAGATTCTGCTCACCTCCATCCGGTTCTCCTGCTCCAGAGGCTTTATACCAGCAAACATATCCTGTTCCTCTTCATTTCCCCCTTCAGCTTTGTCATCATCTTCCTTGGCTACCTCTTGTGGATTCAGATAGTATACCTGGTAATCATCTTCCTCTTCTCCATCATCCCCTCCACCTGCCGCACCATTCTCTCCTACTTCTTCTGGCTTCAGGCTCACACCACCACTGTTCTCATCTGCAGAAGTCAGGTCATCATCACCACTACCTGTCTCTCCCACAGGATCCTTGGTTGATTTCTTGCCTGTGGAACTGCTCCTGACACTGGGCTCAGGTCCCTCAGAGAAGTACACCCCACCATCCTCCTCAAAGGCATCCCTGTAGCTCCTGCTCAGTGGGCTTTCTGTAAAACTAAACGTATTGCTGGCTTCTGCACCCAGAGCCAAGCTGCTGTCGTCCAGGCTCATCTCTGCTAAGTCCGGCTCCAGGGAGCTGTCTTCACTGCTCATGCGGCGTTTCCCACTATGCTTGCTGGTCAAACCTTTGCTCACTGGCAACTTAGCTTTGCCCACTGCAGTCTTATACACAGCTTTATCACCTTCTGCTGAAAGTCGTCGCAGAACTCTCTGCGGTGTTTCAGAGACGACTTTTCGCTTTCCAGTAAGTTCCTTTGGACGAACCGCTGGCTCCTGGGGTGAGGGACGCAGCCTGTCCCCAGGTTGCAGACATGGTCCCCCAGGCTCCTGTCCATGGGCTCTCCCAGCCTCACAAGCAGCTTCTGCACACTGCAACCGGCAGCTCCTCTGTTGGATGGCTTTTACCCAACAGAATGAGTTTTTCTTGTCAGTGCTGCTATAGGTGATCCCAGGGATAGGATAAGCTTCCTCCCAGTTGAAGTAGCAGGCTTCCACTGCTGGCTTGAAACCCTGGAACAGCTTCTCCAGTGATTTCTTGTGCTGACCTCTCTTAACATTATCTATGACTTTTAGCTGCCACTGCCTGAGCTGGGAGCAAAGGTCCCTGCGCCTAAGAGAAGAAGAAAAAGAATAGGCTAGAGAGCAGACATAAAATGCACCAGCAACAAACTTCCTCTTAAACCACTCCTTTTGTTCAGAAAGCTCTTTTTTTGAATTAAGTATAGACAAGATCAGTAAGACGGCAGACTAGAAAAAGGAAACAGGTCTAAAAATAACCAATCCTAGACAGGCCCACAACATAGAATAAGATGTGAGCAGTACCATCAAGAAAACATGATACAAACTGGGAGGTTTAAATTGAAACGCTTTCTTTTGTTACCTGCTTCAAATAAGGAATTGGCAACATGAGCCCCAGCAATCTGACCACCAAGTGCCATGGCAAAGCGCTCTTGAAACTATGCGTAAAACTGCACTGTGTGGCCTCACCTCCAGCACTTGAGCACAGCTCTGGGTGCCACAACACAGGGACAGAAAGCTAACAGAGAGTGTCCAAAGGATGGCTAAGATGGTGACAGGTCTAGATGGCAACGTGTGTGAGGAGCAGCTGAGGCCCCTGGATTTGCTCAGCAGAGGAGCTGAGGGGATCCCTCATGGTGGCTGCAGCTCCTCACAGGGAGCGGAGGGCAGCACTGAGCTCTGCTGTGTGTGACAGCGACAGGGCGACAGGGCGACAGGGCCGAGGGAACGGCATGGAGCTGCGTCAGGAGGGCAGCTTTGGGTGAGGAAAAGGGTCTGCACCAGAGGGTGGTGGGCATGGAACAGGCACAGGGCAGCAAGGACAGCCCGAGTGCTGGAGTTCAAGTGATGTTCAGACACCACTCTAAGACACTGGATTTGGATTTTGGGTGGTGCTGTGTGAAGACAAGATCTGGACTTGATTCTCATAGGTCACTTCTAACTTCTAGGATAAAACTATTTGTAGGAGATGTGAAACAGCACTGCTAACAACTCCTGTCAAGTACAACTGATACAGCCTGCCCAGAGAAGTTCTAAGCCACACAGGACCTCCCAGTCTCCCTCTCAGGCATGAATCTTTCTACCCTGATATGCCTATCTAAAATTTAATTTAGGCTGTAGCAGGCTATCCTCAGAAGACATAACTTTGCAAATCCTGTGTTTGCTTGCAGAACAAGCAAGACAAAAATGTAATTGAAACAAGCCGGTAGGCTTAAATTCACCTCAATTGCACAGCAGTGTACGGGAACTGACAGGTCAAAGCATGAAGCAGTGATTGAGCACCTGGTCATGGGGTGTATCCAGCCCTGGGAGCACAGGTGCAAGCAATTCACCTGTGCAACTGGAAGGGGTAGACCCTAGTCCACCCCTCTCTAACCTCATTTAAGGGCTGGCCACCAAAATGGAAGCATCTCTACTTGAAAACAGCCTGCTTTGAGAGTTTTCCAGTGAGCTGTTATCCTCAGAAAGGGGTACCTGAAGGGGATTTACAGGAAAGCTAGGGAAGGACTTTTTAGAAAGGCATATAGAAAGGACAAAGGGAAATGGTTATAAACTGGAAGAGGGTAGATTTAGACCAGATATTAGGAAGAAATTCTTTACTGTGGGAGTGGTGAGGCACTGGAACAGGTAGCCCAATGAGACTGTAAATGCCCTCTCCCTGGAAGCATTCAAGGCCAGGCTGAATGGGGCTTTGAGCAACATGGTCTAGAGGGAGGTGTCCCTTCCTATAGCAGGGAGTTGGAACTAAGTAATCTTAAAGGTCCCTTCCAACGCAAACCGTTCTATAATGATTCTTTTTACCAAACTGTGCCCAATACCTTTCTCTAGTGACCTGAAAACCAGTCAGTGGCAGCTGTACCCTCTGCCTTATACCATACAACCAGGTAGTCCCATGCCTCATGTTACCACAGGAAAGACAAAACATTTCTGCATTTTACAGCTCCAAATCTCAGGTATGGCCTAAATAGGCAAACAAGTTAGTCTGAATGGGTGACGATGTTTAGGTGATCTAATTCAATACGTTTCTAGAAAAGTCTTTGTGCCAAGTGTCTCAAAAAACTGCTGTCCTGTTCCTGCCACAGATCTTAGAGATCTGAGGTACAAGCCCAACACTTAAACCCTCTTACCTATTGAAAGCAACAGAAAACAATGTCATCAAACAGCACAGAATGCTTCCATTTGTCTGAAGAAATTAATTACGAGGGAGCAGGCCATTAGAGCTTGAGGAAAGGATTTTCAGAAGTAAGAAAGAGGAGAGGGAATTACTTAGGAAAGGTAACATAAGGATGAGCACCTGCAATGAATTAAAAATGCAGTAGCAATTCTCCTTACAATTCACTGGAAAGGATATCAACGATGGATAAAAGAGGGATCTTCTTGGTGACTATTCAAATGCCAAGAGAACAGGAAATTAAGCAGAAGTATTTCAATTATGCATGAATTCAAGTAGATCTGAGCAATTTTGAACTGCACCAGATAGCTTGAACATGAATACATGTAGCGCTTTTATATACTTTATTAAAGGCTAAAACCTTTTCTGTTTTTTTTTTTTCCCCAACACAAGTCAATTGATGGTTCTGTTTATTTTAAACTTCATTCCCAGTTTTCTATAGTTTTTTACTTGTCTTCATCTCCTGTATTTAGATATTTCATATTGCAGACTGTACAAGACAGAAACTGCACCCATTTTAGCATCCCTGGTGTACCTTCTAAAGATAAGGCATTTTACTCATGTCACACAACAATTCACAAAAACCAAATGCTGTTCATGTGTAACTATTTTCATTTGCCCTGAAAAACATTTTCTGACCACATATATCACATTAGACTTACTCAGCATATTTTGTACTTCACACTTTATAGACTGCATATACTAAAAAAAATTTATCAGTGTTGACCACGGTACTCAACTTGAGCAATCAATAACTCAACTGCTAATCAAGTTGTACCACATAAAGATGGCAGTGATTTACCAAGGCATGACGTGATTCAGAAAACTGTCTAAGCTTCACAATTTTCCCTCAGGCTATCGAAAACATTGACAAAAAAAAACGATGCACTGGTGACACTGTTTGCCAATACACTCCAGAGAATAAGCTCCCTAAGAGCACAGAAAGCAAATAAGCAGTTTCTCTTGAAACAGAAAATCATGAATTACTGGGCTAAACAAAAATACATTAAAGTGTTGAATTGTTAAAATTAAAAAGCATTAAAATGTATTGGTAGCCTGTATTACCAAAGACACATTCTCCACTGAGACACTGAAATGCAGAAATACACTTCTGTGTAAAGCAAAATGCCCAGAAAACAACATATTATTCACATTATGCGGAGTTGCTAGAAGTGAGCAGCAACAGTAGTTAAAAGCCATTTGCTCTTAAACTGTAAACTGTAGTACACAGTGCAGAAGGACTGTGTAATGGTTCAACAGTTTAACGAGGTAATGATACAAACACAACACGTCTACAGGAAAAAACTCTGTGCACACATATCACAAAACTGAATGAGAGATTGCAGTCCACTGCTTAAGCAGTCCTAGTCCCCGTACAATAGCTGATTCTGTTGCTCACCTCTGTGGACTTATAGTTGGGTCAAGGACAGCCAGCCGCCAAAGAACCACCATCTCATCACACATACTTGCACAGGCATGAGCAGCTACTTCTGACTGCCCATTGCTGCGTCCTGTGTGCCCGCTAGCACTGCTGTGTGACGCAGACGTCCGCACGCTGTACCACCAGCCAGTTATCTGCAGAAGAAAATGTTCAGTGGAGCATTGTTGTGGCTAACATCCCCGCTCTCATCTAACTTCGTATCCACAGCAAAAAAGAAGCTTAGCTAGTACCATGTTTTCATGACTCCAAAATAACTATGAGCATTAAAGCAGTATTACTTCATAAGAACCTCTCAATTTGTATTTACTTTTGTTTACAAGGCACATATCTGCAGAACAAAGCATTCACAAGGTGCTCTCTTGCTAAAGACCTTCACATCTGGAGGATGCATAATAAGGAAACCCACACTGTATTTTATGTTACAAAGTATCACAAACTGTAAATAGACACCTTTTTCCTTATATTAATAAAATATATATCAAAAAATTCACGACTCAAACACATCAAAGCCAAAGAATATGAGATTTTACTGCCCAACACATTTCTTTACCTTTTGTCAAAATGACGGTACGTATGTGAAGTACTTTGTTTAGAAAAAAATCATTACAATAATTAATCTTGACTAGCCAAAATCAAATCAAACGTGCTGAATAAAATAGTGCAGACTCCATATATTCCTACTTGAAAAGTTGAGGTATTTGGGAGATATAACGTTGCTGAGAGAACACTGAATCATCACAGGAGCAAAGGATAACAAATTTAGAGTGGAGAAGCAAAAGTTACTCAGAGATAAATTCTACAGATACATGGGGATCAGCCATTGACTCAGCTTCGTTCTCTGGAATTTCTCCCTCCAAGGCAAGGGTGCTCAGGTACCTGCTCATAGTTCAGACACTGGTCAGTCAGAATCTCCAGCAAAGGAGCAGCGTTGCTATCCCGTCTCTTAAACATCTCCCGCACAATAGAAAGTAGGTTCCAGATTCCCTCAGGCTCTCTCCCTCGCAGGGGACGCAGAAGGCAGGCCCACTCAGCAGCAGCCGGAGGCTCCGTGGAAGAGAGATACATGGAATTCACATCACTGTGGATAAAACAGAAGCACAGGGTTTAAAGTAAAAATAAAAATAAAAAAAAAGAGGCAAGCACAGCCACACAAAATCCTGAGTATATTCAACATCCAGAAGTGTGTTTGCATCCTAGATGGGACAGCCACGCTTAACTTAGAAGAAGAAACATATGATGAGACTGGGACCACCACACAAGTAAGGTATTGTGCAAATACAGTGTGCTCCACCATAGCAACACTGGACAAGCTACACAAAAATACTATCTCCTCAAAACTAGGCATCCTTTTTACCATAGCATCATGAAAGGGTACACACCAAACAGTGAATAAATTTACAGATTACAGCAACATTTCTTTTTCTCTTCAGGAAAAGATCATTTACCTGAAAACAACAGGAGAGGGCCCACAGAATTTATGAAGGGTTTTCTTTATGTTGTCACTCAGGGTAGATTCATCTAGGTACCAGGTGCTTTGATCTGACGCAGAGGGTCCAGCAGTGGGATCTTGACACAAGAACACATACACAGGTTTTGAAGAGATTTTTCTCGTTGTGCCCAACCACAGGGATTATAGAGAGCACAAAGCAGTGTTACTCAGTTTATTTCACCCACTGGAGAACTATCTCAAAATATTATACTTACCTGAATAACTGGCAATGCTTAATTGGGAGACATGACTGGCATGCTGAAACAGCAGCAGTAGAGCCAGGTGGACTGGGATAAACTTACAGATTATACCAACAGAAACCAATTAACTTCTTTGAGAAAGTATATGGACTTCTGTACTTGGGATAGGAAACCCCATGCACCAATACAGACTGAAAGTCAAGTTGCTGACTAGTTGAAATAGTTTAGTGATTACAGTAGGCACCAAGCTGAACACAAATGAGATAGGATTATAGCAGAGGGATACATAGGCACAGAACACTGACCTACGAGGAGAGACTGAGGAAGCTGGGCTTGTTCTAACAAAGAAGAAGAGGGTGAGGGGTGATCATTAAGAGCCTACAGATACTTGGAGTCACAGATAAACACCTACTGGTAGTGCAAGATAACAGAAATAATTAAAAATTGAGTATTCATATTGGATATTAAGAAAACTCTGGACCAGAAGGGTAATGTAGCATTAAAATAGGAATACACTATAACTTCTCTGATAACTGACACATGGCTAAGCTAGCCCAAGCCACAGCTAACTCATTAGAGTGTTACCAATAACCAACCTTCTACTTGAAAGGAGAGATTCATTCCAACCAACAGTTCCTGGAACTAAAGTAGTTAAATAGAAAAATCTTCTGTTAGAAAAGTGCATTGTCTGATGCTGCCTTTCTTTGAATTTACTCCAAGGAGTCCATTACAGCAACAATTTCCTGCAGCTGCCCTACATGCTTGCTAGTACTTAACCCTTTTCCTTGACCTTCACTTCCAATCCCAGACACTCAGTAACCTACCAGTTCAGAAACTCAAGGCAATAGAAATGTATCTGTTTTCTGTCTTTAACACAGATTACTGAAATAACATATTACCCCAGGTTACCTGGGGCTCCACACACTGTGTTGATTGCAGTTGACTGAGAAGATAACAGTTCATCCAGCAAACGCTGAGCAGTTGGAAGAATCTGCAAACACAAAGGAAACTTTCAGTATAAACGGTGTTTCTTACCCTAATATAAACAGCCGACAATCTGCCTGGATTTTCCTAACTAAAGGACTCACAATATTTGTATCAAAGACATCTTTTCAGAAAGAACGGTAGAGGGTGCTAAAGGTTCTACAAAGTAGTTGCTACACTTCTTCTCCTCTCTCAGAGCAAATACAACGTTCAAAGCTGACCTCCTACGTTCACACTCTAAGTAGTATAGGAAAGAACCATAGGTTATCAGCTGCTTTCTCATTTCTTGAGGAGACAGAGCAATACTACAGCTAATGTTGTGAGGTATGGAAGAGAGCACAGTCAATGTCACCATTTTCTTGCACTTGTAAATGTTCTGTATTTCTTGTTCCTACATCATTTCTCTTAAAATCAAGCTGAAGGGAACAGAGGCGCAAACTGTAAGTTACATCTACACATAACTTTTCAGGAGGACCTAGCTCATTTACCATGCTTTTCACAGAGCGACCATATATATTTTAACTTAGTTAGCAGTAAACTAATGCAATGTCAGCACAAAATGAATGCAGCCGTAGACTCCAGTCAGTTCAGTGTGTAAGGAGAGAAGGCTCACACCTGACTGTGCAGTCCTGAGTAGACATACCCTTAAGGTGGCCTTTCTGAAAGTAAAGAAATGCATAGCAGGAAACTGTTCTTCCCTTATTTCAATCTAAGTCTGGGCTCGGAACTTAGATCCGCTTAGTCCTCGACATACACACTTTAGTTTAGGAACAGTTTAGGAAGTTAGAATTTAAATGAATTGCAGCAGAAAGTCTGATAGTTCCTCACCTCTCTCCATATAACAGCTGTGGACATTTCATATTTCTACAAAATAAAATCATGTGAATGGCCTACACTAATCTTATAACATACAGTCAAGATTCAGGCCCAGTATATCAAAGTACCTCCATTCAGAAATATCAGAGACCAGCAATGAGACCACTAGAACAGTTTGGGCCATGCCTTTCCTTTTTCAAGGGAATTACATAACAAAGATTAAGATGCATCTGCCAAGAAAACCTAAGCTTTTCTGTTGGGCAGCACTGTTTCAGACTATCTGGCAAGAGAGTAATAATTAAACTGTCCAAATGTATTGATTCACAGCTGGTACACATGAAAGGAAAAACAAACCCTGCAAAAAGAAGCAGACAGAATACATGAAAGCATTATATCAAACAGCTCACATGCTACCCAGGAAACTAGGAGCACCACTATCAACTTTTTAGTGCTTTCCTTTATTTAACATCAGACTAGTCACATAAAACTTTGAGACCCTAAGCAGGGAAGAGAAGCTGTCTTTCATTTAACACAGCAAGAATCATACAGTATTGATGTTCAGCATCAAAAAAAGTGGTTTAGTTTAGTTGTTGAGTTTTCTTTTAAATCATCATTTTCATTTTATATTATTTCTTTGTTTCCTAAGAAGATTAGTATTTCTGATGGAAATTTAGAGGGTGTTGTATCAATAGAATATCTTAGTGTCCCAAGCATACTATCATAATACATCAGCACATGCTGACAGTAACGTAAGTCTTAGACATAATGCACACAGTATTGAAATGAGACAAACTCATGCAGGGTAGCGTCTCTCAACCTCCTTCAGTTGAATAAGCATTAAATGTTGCCAAGCCCTTATATTTTTAATTTTCATGCAAACATTTCACAGTCACTTAGGTACATTGGCACAATAAGTGTAAGCATTTTAGATAGATTACAGAAATGACCTGATCTTGCACTACTCTATTATTTAAAGAATAAAGGAGCAGATTTTGCCTTTAACTAACAATACGTAACGTCTGTTACTTTCCACAACCCAAATGATTCTTGCAAGATCACCAAGAGACTGCACTGGGGGAAGTTAAAAGGTCACCACTTGGGTGCATTAGAAGGTAGCTACCTGGAGCATATAAAACACATCCCCCCCCAAATAGTCTTATCCATTTAATCAACAAAAAAAAACCACCAAAAAAAGAAATAACTTGACTTATTCTCACCAAACTTTTTCACCACCCTGTAGTTATTTGACTGTGTTTGAACTTTACTTCCTCAAGCTAATACACTTCTCTTTCTTCTTTTAAAGACACTTCTTTCACTCAGCAGTAAACGATTGTCAAATAATAGAATAACAAGCTTGAAAAGAGCAAGAACTAAAAGCCTTCCCAGCAACTTACAATCACATAGAAAAACCAGCCATCTTGTAACAAAAGACATCACATAAATTCATCCCAAATATCAGCAAGTGAATTTAACAAGAAGTCAGTCCTATTGATTGTCCCCATTTACCTGTTGTGGAAGTTCACTGATTAGGTACTGAGCAAATTTTTGCAATTGGTCTCTTTGTAGCCGAGACAAAGACTCAGAAACAGGTGCTCGTAAGCATACCGCAGATGCCTGGATAAAGAAGAGGATATATAAATTGCCATCTACAGATCAGGCATAATGAAGTGCCCACTAAGTGGACAAAGTGTCATGAACAGTGGCTATGCTGATGCATATCATGCTTGGTCTCTTCACGTCATTAAGCAGAGCACTGCTGATAAGATGCAAATAAGCTGTCTACGTTTTAGCAAAACTGCTTTTAAGAGTTTCTTGTCAAAGAAACTGCCTTAGCAGCTGTGCGTAAGATCTGTTGTTTCTAGCAATTGCACAAATACTGGCAGGGATTTTGCAAACAGTCCTCTAAAATGGGACATAATTCTTCAAGCCTCTGGCAAAGCAACCAACAAAGCACTGTGGGGGGCCATTTCACAGACTCACAACTGCCTCATTTATCTCACTACAGACTTTTTTTTTCCCTTAAAACCAGCCTCTTCCCATATCTTCAAACAACAAATTATAAAATAAATATCGGTTTCTTAACTTTGTTCACTACATGGAGTAAGAAGTACCAAATGGAACACAACCAAAATTTAACCTGGAAGCAGGAAAATGCACTTTGATAATAAGGATGCTTCTGATATCAATTTATCAGCAACAATATCCCTTGGCTTGTAATTTGCTACAAAGCAGCTAATATACACAAATATGAAAATGCTTTCGCTGTTATCTTTCAGGTAGAAGAAAGGACTAGGCAGAAAGTGGTCATTTTTATCTTACAGAGTTGAAATTTTGAGAGTAAATGCTGTTACTGAAAATTTTGAGTTTCAATATCCACTTTTAAAAATGAAGCTATTTTGAAACAGAATTCTTTTTTTTTTTTGACAACTTTCCTGCCTTAAGTACAGAAAGTGAATTGATATTCCAATGATTACACCTAAGGATGAATTTAAGCCTATTACAATTGCTCATTGTGAAATGTTATTAAGCTTCATCAGGTTATGAGCACTCATTTAAAGAAATTGGAGTTGATCATAACCACATTAGCTATAAAATATTCTGAAACAGTAGAAAACCTTCAGTTTATTTCAATCATCCACACTTCATGCTCCCTTAAAATAAATTTCTCATTCCTTCATAAAGACTGAAAAAATAAACAGCTATATAAGTCTGAACCCCCAGCTTGTATATTGCGTGTTGATTGTACCTGTTTTCACCTGAAATCTTTGGAACAGGAAATACTTACTTTCTCCTTTATACAAGGCCATGCAGAATGCTAGCAGTCAAGTAAAATTATAAAGATATTGAACGTTTGAAATCTACAGGTCAAAAATGACACTTGTCTGTCTCAGTATGAGTTAAAATGAATGGATGTACATGAAGGCCAGTAGAGATCAAAATTACTTTCCTTCTGCACCCTCAGTGACCCTACAACCAGGTCTTTTAATAAAAGACTAACTATTGATGATCTTGCACTCCTTGCAGAACTGAGAAAGAATGAATAACTTTAGCATTTAAGTGAGAAACAGAAAGGGCCCAAAAAACAACTGTATCTACTCTGAACAATTTGCACATTATCAAAGGACATTCTGCAGCTTAGAGTTCCAGTCAATTCACACTGCAGACTGCAACTATGAGTGCACATTTGCACAATCTGTAACCAAAAGGATTGCCAAGAACAATTTCCCTAAAGAGTGCTCATGTTGCATAAAATTGTAATGACAAGAGACTCAGAGAAGAGGATGCTGGGGGAGAGCAGAAGTATACTTAAAGGCCTACATTGTGTATCCGGAAGAGACAGAGCGCCACGACGTGAGCGCACCATTTGGCCCCAGCACCACAGGTACAGCTGCATGATGTGATCCTGCATCGGTCAAACATCACTGCCACATTGTATGCACCTTTGGGTGACATCATCTGCGGGGGTACCACAGTGGCACTCAGATGGAAACCTGTCAAAATTCAAAAGTCCAAAGTTACTATTGTGATGCCTGGGAGACAGATTCAGATAGCATGAAAATTAAACTGTGCGCCATTTAAACAGCAAAATAATATGTCTAGCAACAACACCTATACTGGGATGGACATCAGTTTAGAGTCTCTAGCACTTCTTTCTTCCCAATCAATTACAGTAGAGTATTAGCAGAGAGAGACATAAGACATCGTAAAAGGTTAAAAGAAACCAAACAGATTTTAATATATTAATTCACATTTCACAAAGAAAAGCAGGACTGCTGAAAAGCGTGACTTTTTGATCACAGGATCAAAGTTAGGCTATACATACTTCAAGCATGACCTCAGTTAAGCCCAGCAACAGTGCAGAACAGGTTAGGTGACTTCTTGAGAATTGCTTCCAACTCTGTCAATTTTCACAATTTTGTAGGGCACTAAAGAAGGCAGCACTTGTGCCTCAATACTTACTATTAACTTGAGTCTTCAAAAGCTACCGATTTCTTTTAAATCACATACCTACTTACACTGTTGCAAAAATCCTATTTTTGTAAACCACGTACTGAGAAAACAACAACAAAAAAATCCTACTTGTTTAAACTAGAATAGACAAAAAAGAAAAAAATCAAAAACAACACTTAAAAGAATCCAGCCCCCTATTCAGTGAACAAATACATGGATTATAAATCTAACTTCAGGCAAAATAACAAAACATTTCAACAAGTCTTGACTTTATGTAATCTCATATGCCATGCATCCCAGTTGTACATGTAATGAGTCTTCCTCTACAGCCGAGGGTTGTCCAATGGCACACATATTACAAGCAGGAAAAGGCCATCAGGAACATGAATCTTCTGTTTGTCTTTAAGGTTCCTATCACCAGTAAATCAGCTTCTACAGCAACGAGTATCGGCCTCAGACCCTTTTTGCCAGTCTCAAATTCAGTCTTAAAGAAGCAAAAAAGGTATCAACATCATAACCAAAACTCAGTCCAACAATCTACCTTAAGTGAAAAAATACGGCTTGTGATAGACGACTAAAAATTTCCCCCTCATCAGCACAGACAAACACATTACAAATTCACACTATCGAGCTTTCATTATGATCTCGTGAGCTTATTATAAAGATGGTGTTTGGAGTGCACACGACCTACTAAATTCCATCTAAAACAATGCGCAGTATTTCTTCCTCAAACTACAATCCCACACCAGTGGGGAAGTAAGGAAACTTACCTTACTTAACCTTTCTATTTTTCCTCTTCACCAGAATTCAAATCCTCTTCCTGATGCGGGTGATTATTTTGATTAGTACACATAATGCCCCCCAAGTTCTTTGGCCATTTTAGCAATTGGAACAGAATCAAAACAAAAGAAGGCATTCACTACAAAATTGCTGTGCAGCTTATTACTACCTACAGTTCTAATTTATATTCCACACTTGGCTAACACAACCAAAACAGTTCAGCTAGCCCTTCTAGTACACTGGAAGCACCTCGGACTAATGCCAAAATGCCCCAATTTTCACAAAAATAAATTCAGCACTTCACAAACTGCAAGTGTGGCAATTTTACAGCACTGAGAAAAACAAGTATTCTAAAGGTGTTAGAGAAGAACAGGTCACAGCCATGCACTCTTTTCAAGTTCCTACCATGAACATTTTATTTGTATATGAAGACAGCTAACTGATCGAATGCAAAGGGAAGAACTGCTACAAAGGGAGAAAAAAAAAATCTTAAGGGCTTCAGCATGACATCACAGCTTCAGTATAATTTGTAGCTGGATGAACTTCTGCCCCTGAAACTGCTAGTTCAAGCAGACCTGCGTTGATTCTTTTGCCCTGCCAACCTTGCTGTGCTGAACAACCGCATGTAGAATGGTGCAGGAAACCACACAAGGGAAAATACCTGGGATCTATTAATGACTACCACAAATACCACAATTCAGTTCTCACTGCACAGCTAATCAAAGTCTGAACCTGCAGAGACAGTGAGGGGCACCATTCTGGACTTCCTATCCCTATGCTACAGATAAATGAAACGATCAAAGAGCACTCATTTACAGCGTGGCTGCAACTATTTTTTCAATGGCTGACCACAGCCCTAACCTACTTGCTTGAACGCGAGGACAAGAGCCTTGCCTACTGCACATCTAAGGGATTCAGTTACTTCACGGGGATCACCAGGAACATTCTTCCCTTACATCCCCCCCCTGCTCCCACTACCTGATAACAGCCTATCTACCCCTCAGAAAGCAGTACATTACTAAAACCCCACTTACATGCACCAGCAGTATTAATTTTGCCAATGTATGCAGCCTAACAAAAAAACTAAGATGTATTCTATTCTTGGCAAGCTCCACTCCCACGAGGCCTCAAGAATGGGCTGCAGGCCAGAAGAATTGCTCTGTCAGGAGCCTCACTCCACATGCCACCATTTTTCTTAAATGCTCTGTGCAGACTAAGTTTAGTGCTTCTGTGAAAATATTCAGGCTTTCTACAGAGTGAGTGATCTTCACACAAGCACCAGATTTACTTCTTACACACAGAACAAATTTGTCAAGCAGCCAGTAACAATGCTTCAGAGGATGTTTGGTGCACTAACACTAACAGGAGCAACCTACATCAAGCAGTGGTAGCACTACGTTGTCCAGTGTGATACTCAATTAATACATGTGGTTTTATCAAACAGAAAATCAGGGAGTAATCAACTGCTGCATGGATTGGGTCCTGCAAAACAGAGATGCTTTGTTTTTTGGTCCACAACCCATCAATCTCACTACTCTACCCCTAAGCCTTAATCTTTTAGGAAAAACACCCAAAATAAATGTGTGCTTTCCACTGGATATAACCCAGTTTTCAGAATTTTAGGATAACTATGATGGCTATGTCAATGTCTCTTGCACTTATATTTATTTTAAAAATGAAAATCTTTTATTGAGAAATTTGAAGTTGTTTTTCTGGGTTCTATTAGTCCTCATGATTTCAGGTGGAAACACACAAATTTGAAACACCCCAAGCCACTCAGTAAGCAATTGGAATTAAACAGTTTAAGCCATCTATGAATTAACACCACCCTCTTAAGAATACTGCTTGCATTACAGTTTCCAGGATTTCTTTGCTGATATTTGATAGTTCTGATGCCTCTATAGCAATGGTAGCAAACAAGCTTTATTATTCTGCATGGAATTTAAGAACTTTTCCTCCAGGTTTCTTAGGACTAACAGAAATTGAAAAACAATACTTAAACAAAGACCTTTAGATAGAAACTAAGGCAAGGCAATTATGGATATATTTTTTTCCTTTTTAAACCAAGTTAGAGGAAACACTAAAAAGCAGAGACTTGATGACTCTGCTTGAGATGTAAAAATCAAGATTGAATCTGCTGCTGTATTCCTCATTAACAAGAATGAAATAGAAAGTAAATCCCTGAAGTTATCTAAAACACACCTACTTGTGAACATCAATAACTTCTTCAGTGTAAGGAGGCAGGTAGATGACTGCTACAAAAAGAATGTGTGAGAGAAGACCTACAAAAGCCCATTATTTGTGTATATACAGTACAACACTCTAAAGAAGCAAGTTTGTGGAATGTAATGAAGAAGTGCTATTGTTCAGAAATTATGGCTATGGATTTGCATGTGGACAAGATGACCATGATTACTCATTTACGTTGGAAAAGGAAAAATATAAGCCTTATAACAGACAGCCCCTGCAAAGGAAATCGGACAGAAGAGCACAAAAGCACTGTTCAACCTTAGTCCTGTCACAATATCACACTACACTGCTTACTCTTCCTCAAAATTAAACACGCTCTCAAAAAGTTGCTTCATGTCTTATTTATTTTCACGTTAGTCAGTACATGAAACTTGAAACTGCAGCCACGCACTTTAAAATCATTAACAGCAATGAAATGAACATCCAACCACTGTCCTTCTTCTGGGCTTCTATTCATGGGGAAAAAAAAAATCCTTCTACTAGATAATGTTTCTCTGCTAAGGAGGAAACAACATTACTGCTTAAACAAAGTTCCTTCCTTCCCTTCCAAACACAAAATCCTTTGTCAAGAAGCCCAGTTGCTGTACGTGTACTGGAGAAGTTTCTCCCTGGTGCTGTTGTACACCACCTCCTCTTCCTTTCCTCCCCCCTCTAAGCATAGGTTTTGAACTAACACCCGCAGACTTTGTTAATTTACATTCTTCCACACCTCCTTGTCTTTTTAATTTATTACTGAAACAAGTTTTGACAACAGTGCAACCACAGAGTATTAAATTTTTATGTTCTTTTCCATTGGTAAAGTTGCAGGAACTACTGAATTTCAGCAAGTTTCATTTTAACTCATTTTTTTCTCTCTCAAATGCTTCCCTGCCTGAATTTCAACCTTAGAGCTCTTTTACAGCATCACAATCCTGACATTAGCAGATTACGTATGCACTCAAGATTGAGTTCTAACTTGATTTTGTTCATGATCCTAAATTATTGTCTGGTCTCACTAACAACTCAATATACCTTATCTATGAGGAAGCACTTCTTTTTCCAATAATTCCTATTGGAATAATTCCAATAATAACTATCATTACTACAGTAGATAACAGTCTAGATAACACCATTCTGCACCTTTTACCTCATATTCAGAAAATAGTTTATAAATGTCTTGCAATTTGCATGACTGTCTCCTTCTCCCTCAACATTCACAGCATGAGTTCCTTTTCTATTCTTTACTGAATGTATTCATTCAGTTGATCACCAACACTTAGGCATTGCCAGTATCAGAGAGACTGAACAGGCTCATAGAACTCCCCATCCCTCATCTCACAGAAATATAGAGACTTCCTTCCTTAATGTTATACATCCATTTATACCATCATAGTTCCCACGTGCTGAACAATAAACTAATTCTGAAGTTTATACTTTCAGAAAAAAATAATGTCTGCATTGAATTGATGTGATCCACCTTGACACACACCAGTGTCTTTATTTCACATAATTCCTTCCTATCTAACAGCTGTCACTGGAAAAGATAACTCAGTATTTTTCCTCACTTAAAACAATTTCATGAAGAATCCAGAGTCCAGTTTCTTGTTTACGATTAGTTTTCACAACCATAAAATGTTAAAATAGCAAGGTAAGCGAGAAGAAGTGAGGATAAAACTCACTGTCTAGCAACAGGAATTCCCTTCTGCCTTAATACTACCAAAGTACCTGTATTATGAATACAACTATTTTGCTGTGAGAATAACATTTAAGCCTGTAAACTTCATCTCTGCCATAAAAACACTTCAGGCAAGGTATTAATTGGACCAGACTGAATGAAAGCCAATTTCTTATTATTAATGAGGAGTTTAAGCATTATGGAGAAAAGGCATTCTATAAAGTTTTCCCCAAAATGTTGAAACTGAGTAAGGGTCCAATTTGCAGAACTAATCTGGCTTTTCACTCAATTTCACAGCTGAGTTGACAAAGGCTGAAATAAACACAACATTCAGCTTAAGACATTACACAAAACACGCATAGCATGGAGTTTAGTCTAAGATACAGAAAAACTAGTTTTGAGACATACTTTTGGGAAGCTAAATGAAATCTAGAGACATGGAGCTGCAGAGTTCTTACCTATCTGGAGAGGGTCTTTGACTGCCCTCACTCGGAACAGCTGCTCCCCTCTCTGGAACTCGTCTGCACTGCCATTAGCCAAACATGAGTACAGTCTGGAAGTGAAAAACATAACAAAGCAAGATTAGTAGTTTCTGAGAAACTTCACATTATTATCTGAAATACAAAATCATTTACAACCTAAAATCACTTACATTCCAAAGTCAGCATGTCACAGTAAGACCTCCTTGTACTTCTGGACGAGTTGCCCACATGGTCATGTGAGATTTTTTATGCCTGTGCTCATCAGACTAACAAGCATGTATGACCAACAGCTGAAGTGCTCTGTTCTATCACAGGTGATCTGTATAACTGTATCAGCACTTCTGGCACTAACTCCCCAGCCCGAAACTAAAATGTTAGATGAAAGCATTTAAGAATTGTCAGGATGATTCTTTCTAAAATACCTCTAAAATACAAATGTGTCTGCTATCCTACAAAATTCCAGATGCATGGTTGCATTGGTAGGCAACCTACAGAAAAAAAACTTCAGACAAAACACATTTGTAAAAGATTTAACAGCACTGAGTTTCTGATTATGCACTCAATCAATTTCCCCATTGGGAAACATAAGAAATACAGTTATTTCCCTGGCTGTATCTACTCTGATTACTGATGTACTCAGCAAATTCTGATTCTCCTACTTACACCAATTAAAAACTTACAAAGTATTCTGAGAGAGCCCTCCCCAATAATTTCTGAGCTCAGCTAAGTTCTGATTGAAGCAACAGATTCAAACTGGACAGAATACCACATAAGATTTATGTAAAGATAAAAGTCCACAAATAGATTGCATCGTCAAGCAAACATTTATCAAGGTTTATATATATAAGTATATATAAACCATAATCAATATATATTGTCAAGGCAAGCATTTATCCTGTTTCAGTTACACACAGAACCTACACATCTATATGTTCTTCCTGGGATGCAAGCAGGGCAGCTGAACCCACAATTAGAATCCATGTCGTTGCACATCTCCTACAGTAACCCACTCGTATATTACAAAGTCCACATACCAACAGCAGGAGCAGCCAATATACAGGACATGACACGGACAGTGACTGTTCTCTAGTGAACAGAGCTTTCCCTTAAGCATCAGTGAGCAGAAATAGTAAGCATTACCTAATATCTTCCTCATTTTCAGGGAAACTCCAGAAGGCAATCCGAAGCTGTAGTTGCTCAGGAACTGGAGGATAAACTTTTTCCACGACCTCAAATGGAATGTGAAATGCAACCTGTTTTGCAGACAGTTCCACCAATGGGATCACCAGCCCATCTGGCAAGACAAGAAACAAAATGCAATTAGCCACTGAGGGAACTAAAACTGAGGAGAGGCAAAAGGCACTAGAGCAGAGAGCACTTCTCCGCCTAACTCACCAAATTCAAAGACCTATTTTGATAATACAGTGAAAGGCAGCACAGAAATTTTCTAAAAAACTGACTACTTGCCAACCTTACTTTTGTTTTCAGCCCCAGAGATTCATTAGGCAGCATCCCCTTCTCACAGATTAGCAGTCTTTTATTATCACAGGATTATTTCTCCATCACCAGTGATTTTTATTCTACATTATAGATGGAGCCTATCTTTTACTGTGCTATACTCCCATACACGAATGTGAGAGCACAGATTGTAAAATATACAGTGATGGTTAAGTGAGTTATCCCTTTCTTTACTGCCAGCAGATACACAAGATTTTAGGGGAAAGTCATCTTATTTCCCCTTCTGACAGCCAGTACAGCTAACTAAAGAAAATCACTATTGTTAATTAGCGCAGCAGTCATCTTAAATGTCACTGCTGTTACTACAGTAGTAGATACCATAGAAAGTGCAAACCAAGGTACACCAGTACTCAAAATTGCTCTGAGAAATGAAAGAAGAAGTATTTCTTGGAGTTTTTTACTGCAGTTTTTGCAGAGGCACTTTATCCAAATCTTTCATTACAAAACATTAAAAAAAAAAAAAAAAAAGAGAGATAATACCTAAGCAATCTCTACCGTTAAAGGTACAGTATCTGAAAAAGACTTTAGTATGAGTTTTAGTATGAAACACCTGTGCATCTTTCGAAGAGACTGCAAGTGGATGGTATTTCTTTTCACAACTATGTGATGTGGGGTATGAAGGTCAGACAGAAATAGCAAAGCCACACTGGGTTGACAGAAAAGCAGCAAAGGCAAAAGCAATCCATTATTCCATTAGTATGTCTTATTATTACATATATTTTTCTTTACAGTTAAAGAGTTACAGTTACAGTTATGGAGTAGGACTCCTACAGTCAGTTACCAGGACTCAACAGTACTAACAGAGCAGATCACTGCAATTACCCTCCACCTACTTCATTACACAGCACAGCTGTTCTCCTTCATGCCTAAGCAAACTAGCTCAAGAAAAACCCTATGACAAGCATTGCTGAAATTGCCTGTCCTGAAAATAAAAAATCCATCTTCCAAGTGGGAAGGAGTCCGTACTACTAAACATAAGAAACATACATGCTTTCTGAATCAAACAACTGTAAAGCCCTGATCTGACAATTTTCAGGGTGGTCTGACTACTGCCAGTAATAGGGCAGTAGTACTCAATGAGAACCCCAGGGAGCTTTTCAGACCCCAGCCAGGAGCAAGTTGGGAAAAACAGCCCTCATGACATGAGCAGGACCCTACTGCTGGCCACCACTTCTCCCCACAGACCCCTGCCCAACTCCTATGATTACACAACATATTAGCGTGGATCCTTTGAAGGAAATAAGTTCCCAGGAGCCCCTTGACAAAAGGGACCCTTGGATTAACTCTTCCACATAATCTACCAAGACTTCATACAATGAGAAGAAACTGCAGTTTTATTAGAAAACGAGTCACGTGAGCACTGTCGTGTCAGCTCAGCCACATGGCCATAACACGGCTGCAAAAACCACTGCGGGATGACAATGAGCCTGGGACAAACAAATCCACCAGAAGTATATCAAAGTCAGTCCTACTTGAGAAGCCTTTTGGATTCGTTCTGTTAGGAAGGCTCCAGTGCACTTATTCTGAGATTTTACCAGATTTGCAGTGAACTAAGGTAACCGACTGACTTCGTATTGAACTCAGTTTCATCAGCTGTACTGCGTTAATAGTAGCCTGCAGGAGCCAGCAGCCAATTAACTGGAACAGCTGTCGTCAGCACGCACTCAGCACATAGTTTTGATATTCTCAGAATAAAGTGAAAGTAGTAACATCTGAAGTGGAAAAAATAATCTAAAAAGCAATAATCTTATCTATAAAACAACAGATTTCTCTAAAATGTTTAATTTTCTAGATAGAAAAAGAGCTGTGGAAAAGAAATGGTAGAAGATAACTGAGAAGTAGAATTATTTGGATGATACTTAAAGGACGAGTGAATTCGCAGTAGCCAAGCTGCTACGTAATGTAAGCACTAAAATTAAGAAGTTAAACTGCCTTAAGTTTCAAGGGTGGTGTGCCATGTACAGCCACAATGATAGAGACACTTAACCTGCATGGGATTCAGAACACAGGGACTTCCCCATTAGGTCTTCTGTACATTCAGTTGGACACCCTGAGATAAGTGCTTAAATTAGACAATATTTTTCTTTGAATACTAAACAAAGAGATCCTCTCCAAAAGTTTATCTCTAAATACACAAATCCACTATTGGGTGATTTATACCTGCTTACATCAAAAGGTATTATCAGTGAAACACATGAAAGGTACTCCTAAATACTACAAAATACGCTTTGAGAAAAAAACAAAAAGGAAAAGCGCTAATAAAGAAAAGGAAAAGGCATTGTATATCCCACTCAATGCAAAGATAAAGACAGCAAGGACGACTGCAAAAAAATTTAAAAAAAAAATAATAACATAGCAATAAAATCAGAGATGTAATAGAATATCAATGAATCTGCAAGATACATTTATATGAGGGAGAAAATTTTAAACTGTGCTTCCTCTTGAGCAGCAGACAAGACGATCCAAAGAGAGCAAAGGAAACTCCTCATGTCTTCCAAGAATAAAATTACAGGCAAAGCATAAGCAACCTCAACATTTCTGACCTACATGAAACCCAAATCCCAGGTCTAGAAGGGAATCGGAGAGATAATCTGATCTGTACACCCTACTACCAGGCAGGACCAACAATTTCTCAACCATTTGGAATAAATTGCGTCCCATCTATCTACTGCTATGTGGAACACACTAACTTTTACATGAGGACCATCCTACCCTTTTTGTTACTGTTTCATGTGAATTGATTTTATTGTAGTTTTACAATAGCTATAACTTTAGCACAGACACAGTTATGCCTGCAGGAACAACAGCAACAACAAAAAACCCAACCCAGCTCCAAATAGCTAAGGCAAGTTATGCACACAGAAACACGCCTTCCCCAATGGAGGCAAATTCCATGCCATCAGGGCTTATTGACATGGGTGTGCTACATTTCTTAATCGTTCCTAGCACAGGGTAGGCTGTAGCAAGTTGCAGCCAACAATTGTTCATAAAAACAGATGATGTTCCAATAAATTCTTCAGTGCAATAACAGAGTTTTCATGATAGACAAAAAGAGAGAGAAGACTCTACTTGAATGAACAGCAAAATAGGGGCCAGGAGTTATTAAATGGAACTGAAACAAATCCAGCTGGACCAAACACTGAATAAATTTGTTATCTAATGACATTATTCCTATTGGGTTAGTTTCAGTTGACACATGTCCCTAAGAATAAACTATATGTTCAATAGATATGAACAAATACAAATTGAAGGGAACAAATCTCACAGTATGAGATAAGACAGTGCAAAGATAAGACTCACTGTGTTTCATACATACCCGTATATCTTAAGGAAAATAGGGTGATGCTTTTTAGCAGAACAAATAAACCATACAGTAAGACATCTTAGACTGCACTGTCTTTTGAGAGATGTGTCTCCAGCTTTGATTTTATAGTTATCTCTAGTCCACATCTCACATTTCCCCTCACCTCTACCGCTGGCCTCAGTCCAAAACGCATCAGGGTGGAACAAAAGTAATACAGCAGATAGACCAAGGAGATGGGGAAAATGAAGCGAAACACTTCTGCTATTAGAAGAGAAAATGAGATCAGTAAAACTAACAAGAAATACGTAGCACGTTGTCTTGATCAGTGAAGATGTATGCAGGGGTGTTATAAAACCTGTTTTACAAATCTCATTTAAAAAACGGTATATACTACATTTCTTTTGGCAGGGTTTCCCATGTAGAAAGATAAATCTGTCAGTGTGGAATGTCATTTTAGCATTTAACTAAAATAAATTAAACAGAAATATATCAGTAAGGGCCCCAAACTTAAGGCAGTGACATATTTTCTCCCTAATGCCCCTTGAAACCAAAAAGCACTGTGAGTTCTCAAATATGGGAGAGCCATGCAGTGAGCTATAACATACTTAAATCAAACCTCTTAAAAATGGTGATCTTCTTGTTGTCTTCTGCACATTTCTGCTGTTGGTTCTGTTTTAATCTCCCTTTATTTAACTTTCCAAAAATTTAACCTCAATGTTGATGCCTTGAAGAAGTATGTGTCGGTGCAATGTGTTCCTTTCAGTCTCCAACAATGCAACAAACATCAGAAAACTTTACCTTTGCCTTGAATTCTGTTATACTTAAGGAGAGAATTTTGACTGCACGGTCACCCAAGGTGAATACTGCAAAATCAATCACGACATTTTAAATTAAAAGTTTAGTCTCCATTTTGAATATAAATTATACTCCAAGATGTTTAGGCCATTACTTACATCTCTTTCCCTATTCTTCTTCCATTTTGTTGCATAATCAATGTGATGTTAAAAGCAGGATACATGTTTTTAAAAATAAAAGAAATTCACCTTTGAGGACAATACACACTGCAAATGTCTGAAAAAATGCCCGAAAAAAGGATATTTTCACTTCCTTCAAAAGCATTTCTCACACAAACCTCTTTCCACAAGGCCCATAAGAACAGGCATTCAGGAAGGAGCAGAGCCAACTCAGTGGTCACCAACACACCACCACCTGCTTTTCAGTCACGCTAACATTTGACACAGGCAGATCACAATTCTGTCACAGAATCATAGAATTGCTTACGTTGGAAGGGACTTAAAAGATCATCTATACCAACCTCCTGCCACAGGCAAGTTTGCCACCTACCAGATCAGGCTGCCTAGGGCCCCATCTAACCTGCACTTTAGGAGTGCCTCCAGAGATGGGGCATCTGATCAATGTTTATAAATATGTAAAGGGAGGTGGGAGGCAAACGGATGAGGCCAGAGTCTTCT